TCTATGAAATAAATTTAAAAATAAAAGGTAGATAAGTAAAACATTACAGCAAGTACCTACAACACATTAATGTAACATTATATGACTAATATGGTACTACCATTTTGAGAAGGAATACTAAACAGTATTTACCTATATGATAAAAATGAAGTCTCATTGAGTTTCATGTCCAAATCATGTCAATTTTATATAGGATACACAAAACGCTTTTGTTGTGTGCATTGTGTGTGCATCGCGATTTGTGAAACTGCAAACAAACACAATTAATTTATTGTAATCACTAATCGTACATTAACTCAAATCTATATAGGTACCGTGGAATGATGCATCGCACTTTCATATAAATCATACCATAAGAAAATGATTGAACATTTCATAAAATCTAGTTTATATCAATATATCATACTACTGTTTTAGCTGTTTAAATTTTTTATTAAATAAAAAATGGAGTTTAAATCTAAAAGAGCTCAAAATACATTTGTATAAAATCACATCGTTAAATTTCTCTTAAATCATTAATGATGACATGTAGGTATACCAGTTAGAATTTATTAAGGTATTATTAATATCAATTGTCGATGTAATGATCGGTCAATTATGATTTATGATGTATGAAAGTATAAGGATATTAAGTCGTAATTGATTTTCCGGAACAATTAATTCATTTGTAATGGACATCATTTTGTGGGATAATAATTACCATTAATTTTTATTATAATACATTTATACAGACATAGCAACAATCTTTTTGTCAAATAAATTCTGTAATAAGTAAGTCAGCTTTAGATAAAAAAAAATATTTTATACAATACAATATGTTTATACAGGACGATGGACCACGCTAGCTCACCCCTGTTTCTTATCTAATAAAACATTTATTAAAATTTTGATTTTTGGATTTTTTAAATATATTTAAATATCACATTTTTAAAATCTTGAGATTTTTGTACTATTTAAGGAGTGTTCTGTGGCGATAAAAACTTCTACTTTTCAAACGAGGACCCTCTTTTACTAATACTCCTATATATCTTCCATGCTCACTTTCATGGAATTTTTAGCCTTAGTACACAATTTTAAATAATTTAAAGTCTACTAATTTTTGTATTTGATACGTCGTAATTTTAAGAAAAATTATCCACTCAATATTTAAATATTTTACAGTAGATAAGGGGTTTTTTGAAAAACAGAAGTTTGTATTACATATGGTAATACAAAAAAGTCTCGAGAATTTTAAAATGTGGTCTTTGACTTTAAGTATACTCGAAAATTTCAAAAATCAGATTTTGAATAACTACATTTGTAGAAAAAAAAGGCGAAAGCTTGGCGAATGACACTGTTAATAATTTGTATTTTGTTCATGTATGATATACACAAATACACAATATATATATATATAGGTTTGTTTCCATGGCAGTCACACGTTTTAAGACACCGACCGAACGTAATAACTGATTCATCATTAGGAATGTATAAACGTTATTAAAACTAATGAATATTAAAATTAATTTTTAATTTGTCAGTTTTTAACAGCTGTTTAAAACTTAATACCGCAAGTTCGCAACAAATACAGTCATAAGACACATAATATTTATCACTATCATCGCGATTTAGATACATGATGTTAGAGTATTTGTTTTGTCAATACTAATAATTATTATTCGTAATTAAATGTAAAAGAAAATGTTGTCATCCTAGCGCGTCTACAGAGATAAGGCACAACGGATAATACAACATAATACACAAGGACAAGGCTACTTCGTGCCCATAGAAGACCCAATTTAATGCGCGACCTGTGGAGCAAAATATTTATCATCGCAAGCACCCCCTCGTCAAATTCCAACAAATACAGCGACTGCCGGAAATCAATACAACATAAAAGAATTCTTTCATCAATAATTAGACGAGACGACCAACAAGCAATTATTAAAAACCCGTAGGCATTAGTATATATCGTTAATTTATTGTACAATAACAGTAAACATGTGTACATACGAGTTACAGCATTATTGTATAATTGTTAATATTGTTATTGTACTTAGTGTTAGTATAATATGTCCTATATGCGAGCAAAAAATTCTCGGAGAATGGTTTGGGTGGCACGAGGCTCATGCTAATTAATTTTTTAAAAAAATTGCATTATTATTATTACTAATCGTGTACATGGAACTATAGAATGCATCGTGTGTGCGCAATACAACGTGGGAGTGTTCACGTCTGCTGAGACGACGACCAGCAGCGGGGTAACTTCGTTCAACCAAATTCCAAAATCAAAAACACATCCACAAACAAATGTTGTAGAACATTTAAGGGTGTAGGCACTTCCGCGTTAATCCCGTCATTAAAGACCGTGAAAACCGTTCGGAGTTGTCGCACCTACACAGCTGCAGGCGATCCACTGTCGAGCGATTATTTTATAAACAACGTTCGTCTGACGGCCGTTTGATACAGATAATAAGGTGTTACGAAAATCGCTAATAAATTTGTGCTAAGAATCACGAACGCGTGCGTGCCGCAATATAATAGGCGTTATAATTTATAATAATATTATATAGTCAAGGCGACAAATGTAATAATAATAATAATAATAATAATAATAAAATCGTTATTATTGTTCAACAGAAACGCGATTGTTGTAGTCATACATTTAATATTGCAGTATGTAACATATTTTAATACAGCCGTACAATAATTATTACAATAATGTGAATAATATATTATTATTATTATTGTACGCGTACGACTCGTGTATAAGTAAGTATAATCATAGACATATATATATATATATATATTTATGTATGACTATGAGTATAATATATTATATCAAGAAATAATTGCATTATTATTATGTTGCTACTGCGTTACGCGCGTATACCTCTATAGGTCTTACCCACGTCGAATAATTGGGACCCGAGACCGAAATCGTGCGTACATATTACATATTATTGTTATTATGTGCGAGCTGGTATTATTATCGAATTAATATAATATTAATAATAATATTATAATCATTATTATTCGTCGCACGGTCGCCGTCGCGCGATTAACAGTTGCAGATATTGTATATATTTATATTTTATATGCGCACCTGTTGCGTCACTATATAATATGGTAGTAATAATATGGGCCCATGTTGTAGATACTATATTATGTGTGGCGAGCGATGCGATTTCTAAAATAAATAAATATGCGAATTCGGTCGCGTGTACGCGGTGGAAAACTATTGCGAAGATAGGTATTAGGTATTATATATTATTTGGTCGGACTCACCGAAAAAAGCCGAATTTCCTAAAAGTGTATTTTATATAATAATATTGTACACCTAATAGGTGCCTATACTATTAAACTTTAATGGTCAAATTAAATTTAAAAATAAAGAAACGTTTACTACTATCTGTTCAAGCATAATACTTATACGCAAACGTTGTACTCGTATAGTTGCACTACAATACATTAAAAACAGTATCTATTCATTTGACAAAATACAAAATATGCAATACTTCTAATTTAACTATAAATATTGATATCTTAAAATTCAATAATATTATGATTTTTAAGTAATATATCAATATAGTTTATCATTATTTCATGAATATCTTAAACCAGTGACCACCAACTATGTAATTGATTACCTCGAATTATTTTTAAAGTATACCAAATTAGTTTTCCTGTTGACTTATACATATTGTTTGTAAATGTGTTTATCCTTGAAATACAAAATTTGCGACTAACATGATAATCTATCGAGACAATTCTACTGAATTTCTACATTTTTCACGAAGAAAACTTTAAACATTTTTCATGAACAGAATTATTGTCTAATACCTGTACGGCTATACTTAGAACTTAATTGTGTTGTGGTAAACTGATAACTATATACTAGGTACTTGTTAGTATTGTCTGCTCCATGTGTCAAAGCCATTTTGACTATCTCCATGTGGCAAACCCAATCTTAAACTCTTAACACTGTACACTCCAGGTGCCAGGAATCAACAGGTATCGGCACGGTAAGTGGTCCCTGGTTTCCAGAGTGTATGAAAACCAAATTTCAACAAATTGTCGTATGTTATATGTATTAATTGAAAAAATAAATGGCACCGTCGTTAAGCAGTTCCGGCCGATGCTGTTAGAAACAAAAAAAAGGTATTTGTCAGGATGCATTCATTAAATTTAATTCATTTTGTGGTCCAATCAATCAGGTGTTTCAGGAGAGTACGTTTCAACCTGGTACCTATATACTGCCTAAATGTTAATAGTCCATCAAAAACGTGTTGTTGTTTTGCACAACAGCCTTATATAGCGTACGCATAATAGCAGTCTCCCCGAGGCATTTCGTAAGTAACTAGTGAAAAAAAAATCGCGAAAATTCTGAAAACGGTCATGCAGTAATTATACAGGTTAATTATTGGCGTAGTTAAAAACAAAAAATGTCCATGTCGAGAGTGAAGACAGTGTAGTGTACCTTTGGGGTATGATATTATCATAACATTGATTACATTTAATATACATATTTATCAATATAATAGGACGTATTATATTGTATTTAATCATTTATAATAATGACTCCTGGACTCATATAACAACAATATTATCATACTCGATGCTATTATATTACAACGTGCAACGAGCTTAGGTTTCTTTTCAGATAATCCGTATATTATTTATTATATTATATTATTATGTAAGTATAATATGATTATAATATTAATATTAAAATCGCGTTCCGGTAGTTGCCGTGGTAGATTCTCAAAACTCGGTGACCTTGACTTTGTCTCAACTGCAATAATATACTATATATCCATATAATATATAATACGATGATAAACTACAATTTATTATTATTATTATTGTTGTTTCGTGTATCTACCTGTATTGAATTATCGGTGTACGGGAGAAAACAGACACCGCTTTCATCCGTCCGTCCACCCGACCAGGTAACCGCGGTCTATACCGCCGCCGCCACCGGACAGCGGCACGTACCAAGTGCTGCTATATAAAGCCGGCCGGTCCACTGTGGCCGTCAACACTCGTTCGCCACACTCTGCCGCTCACACAACAGCAACACACTCCTCCACGTCGCCGACACAGGTCACCCTCAACAACACCCGCGCCGTAGCCGCAATGAACTGCAAGGTCTTGATCGCTCTGTGCTGCGTGGCCGTGTACGCCGCGCACGCCAGTCCCGCCGGTGCGGCCACAGCCGCCGCCGCATCCGCCGACGAAGAGATCAAGGATTTCCCGGCCTACATGAAGCGGTTCGATAAGCTCAACGTGGAACAGGTTCTGAACAACGACCGCGTCCTGGCCAGCCATCTCAAGTGTTTCCTCAACGAGGGCCCGTGCGTCCAGCAGTCCAGGGACTTGAAGAGTGAGTGACCGAAACGATATCTTATTATAGTTACCTTTGATTATAGTTACCGTTGATATTATTACCACGTATATCTGTTTGATCTGAGTTCATCACAGCCGCGTCGTATATCGTGTCGTGTTCCACTGTGACATTTTCAGAGTAAAGGGCTGAGTTAGACTTTTGGACATGACACGACAGGCGGCTTGACTGTGACTCGGCTCAACAGCAAATAAATAACAAACAAAAAAAAAATCGTGAATTTGCGCTGTAAAAATGTTTTCTATACGAAAGAAAATCACCGGTGAATAACTGCTAAACAATAATATCATATTATTATCATTGATACATGTATATATTTAATCGATATTATTATGATGTGTTGGATATGGTTTTAGTCGAACTTCTCGTAAAATATTATCTCACGCAAATGCACGTTTTTTAAACATAATAAATTATTATGTCCCAGACCTTAAGTCTGTATGATTTCGACTGATATATTATTCTTTGTTACCCCGAAGTTGGTAAAAAGTAAAAATAACAAGAACAAAGTTAACGCGATTTCGGCTTGTTGCGGATTTGCATATTTATATATAATATTATAAAAAGAGTGACTTTAACGCGGTGGTTCCTTTTTTCGTAGCACTCATCCCGCCTCGGCCTCCCGCCAAGGCTTTTTCCCGATCGATTTCGATCCATTTGAAAACATTATAATTTGTATTCTTTACTACAAACATTTACGACGACCAAACGGACAAGCAATTACCAATTATCGTTCGTATTATCGTCGGTATGACATTCTTTATGTACATATACGATCGTATAATATTACGTTACATTATATTATCGCATAAGTTATCGCTATGAAATTGTGTCCCGACATCCGATACGCTTATAATTGCGTAACGTCGTTATAATCATATTATATCACCCTGTCGGTCAGTCAGAGTGGGTAAACATGTATGATAATATTAAAGCGATATCGTTATGTACGAACAATCGCAATCGACGCTGGTAAACAATAATACTGCGACGTTATATTATATTAATATTATCCCGCAGACGCTTTATCGTACGTGCGAAATTATTATTACGACACACGATTTAATCGTTAATTTATTATTCTCCGTCGGTTCTCGTGTCGAAATTCATAATTCGTACAGGGCGCGACCGACAAACCACCGTCGAATACGAATGGCAAAGTCTCTGGACGGAGTAATAATATATTAAAAACAATAATATAAAAACATTCTTTACATACGTATGATAATAATATTGTGTTTACGTCTTATACAAGCTCTCACTATACATCGCATGTCGTATTTTATTACTCACTGATTGTTTTTTTTTTCTTTCTTTCCTGTTGTACAGGAGTCATCCCGGTGATCGCCAACAACGGCTGCAACGGATGCACCGAAAGACAGATGACCACCATCAAGAAGTCGCTGAACTTCTTGAGGACGAAGAAGCCAGTCGAATGGGCGAGACTCGTCAATATCTACGACCCGTCCGGCACCAAGTTGAACAAATTCCTCGACGCGTAAACTACATAATATTGTGACAATACTATAACATAATAATATATATACATAATATATTATACAGCGCGTGTGCGACGTCTGACAATAATACGTCGATCGTGCAGATGATATTATGTTTCGCACGCGCGTTTATTAGTTTATACGTGTATACCTACACAAGATTTCGCTCGCTGTCGCAATGTGAAAATCGTCTATTTATAAGTTTTATATATTAATTTATTAAATCGATTATGCTGTTTTGAAAATTAAAAAAAAAAATCTCAACCATACACGTCTTGTATTTCATTGTTTTTTGTAAAAATGTATGCGCACGTTATATTATTTCCTGATCGAATCGTTCGGAACGATTATTGAATTGATTTCACTTTATCGGCAAACATATTGTGTATTACAAGCAATCACATATAAGTATTATGGTTACACGAGCTGGATGACTTACTAATTAGTTCAACACGACAATTTTATAATTGTATATTAACCGAGAAGATGTATGCAATATACCTATATTAGGATTTAATCTTAAACGAAACACGTAGCTCATAATTTATTGAAATTTCAAAGGGCGATTACTGATTTACGTCTATTCGAATTTCAAAAGATCTGCACAGAGAGGGGGGGGGTTACGTTGTATACAATACGAATTACAAGCTGATACAATATAAGGAAAAATTATAATATTGGCAATCGGAAAATCAACTTATACTCCTTCATATTATTATAAATTACAATATATTATTATGGCACATTTGTACTTTGTAGTATTTAAAAAACTATTCAAAAACTGTAAAATATAAATTATGATTTGCTTAGTGCCAACTCAAACACTTAATGTACCAATGTGCCAACTGACACATACATGTTGTACGCTTGGGGGGCTGGGACACCCCCTAGAACCCCACCTTTGGGACGGCCCTGATACTTACAAACTATTTTAATTTTATTTTCAAATTCAAGTGTCAAACAAAACATCCATTGGAATGACTACGACAAAAGATTGAATCAACAATTATAAACTTGTACAGTGTATGCACTTAGTTAACATGTTGTGTTTTTTCTTTGTTATAATATTAGATCCAAGTGTAACATATGATAAGTTATTTGACATAACTATGCGCAATCTGTAAATAAGTTAAAATAATGTGAAGGGGTTTTGCCGGTTTTGGGGAATTGAGCGGGATCAACAAGTTTGGCAGACAAAGAAGCGTGGGCTGTCGGATGACATGCTCGTGGGAGATCACGATAACTACTTTCATCGAAATATTGTAAAATAAGATGTGGTGAATTGATACGTAGTCGATAAATTTAATAATAAAGTATAGGCAAATCTAGACAAGTTAAGTTATTGAACCAGTTTTTTATTTTTAGAGTACATCATGAACGAAACTTTTAAATCTGGACACAAAGTTTGTTTTTAGAATATTGTTATACTCATATATTATTATTGTCTTAATCATTGTTAAAATATAATTTAGTTAAGAGTTGCAATAGTTCGATACTTAACTCGGGTGCTAAACATTTTTGGGATTTTAAAATGTAAATATTTCAATCTGACTTTTTTCGTAAATAATTTATACAAAATAATAACCACCATGCAATGATTTTGAAAAAAGGTATGAAATATTGCTCCTAATAATATGTAATATTACTTGATTGTGAAGTGTTAAGATAAGCTTATGAGTTTTTTTTTGAGAAGTGGGATCTCATTAAAGCTTATAAAAGGTACAGAATTAAAAAAACAACCAATTGGATTACTAAATTATAGCTAAACAGTAAATATATACCTAATGTTTGTTAAAAATAATGATGTTAGCTTTACGATTTTGAAGATCTACTGGTTCATCAATGGCCATAATTTTTTAAACTGAACGAACTGGAACCCAACGAAACTTGCATTTTTTTCATATTGAACTCGAACCAAACTTAAAAAATATTATTATGTCTATAAAATGACTTTGAAAAAAAATGTTATATTATATTTATTATTTATATTAATTATATTAATATTATTTACTTCAAAAATTCCGTTTTATTTTTATTCTTCAGATTATTATAACAGACGTTGATTTCATTGGTTTGATTTTCAAGTCCGTTTTCGGCCCACGTGCACTAATAATTATTTGTTACAACTCGAATTTGATCTTGGTGATACATGCATAGAATTAATTTTGTTGTAGTTTTCACAGTTCGTTAGTGCAGCCTCTCAGCTTCATCCTCCGCCGAGGGCACCGGGGTGACCACGAGGAGAGTTTGACTGGAAAATCTCCGAAAAAATGTACACACTCACAATATTTAATACACGAGTAAAAAATATGGCTAAAACTATCAATACAATACTTTAGTCTTTATTTTAGTCTGGTGAACTTACGGCGCGTTTGGTTCGTTAAATCAATCAGTCTGTACAGTTATTGTAACACTCGTCATTATATTGTAAAAAGATAATATCGCGTAGGTACTCGTATTATTTTATTGAATATATATTATTATCAAGTACTTGTACCTATATTTAGTATCTACTTATTTATAATATATATATATTATACATGTATTACTGTCTAAAGATATCGTACGAGTACCTGCTTGCATAATGCATATTATAACACTTATTGTACAACACTCGTTTAAAATACCTATCGAACTGACAAAAGGTGTACCGCTCGTCGCGGATATTATTACTTATTCGAGTTACGCACACCCACTCGTACCTACGTATACTTAAAATATTATTGTAGCATAAAATGTAATACAGTCGTTCATAATATTATGCCATCAGACTGTTAATCTCTGTTGAAGTCTTCTCTTATCGAACCGCCTCACCGCGTCATATCCAAGTTTTAAAATTAGTATTGTTTTTTATAAAAGTTTTTTTTTTCGGCCGTCATCGTTGAACATAATATTAAAAATGTATTATTTTCATCTAAAATCGTATATTCATTTATTTAAGTTCTTATTTCCTATATCTTATTTCCGCCGTACACCGTTCATTATTACACTCGTAAATACTAGATGCATCGGATACGAATCGACGATCCCTTAACGTGAACACTGCGCCCTGAATGGGTTCGAGTAACACTTTTATCTCTCGTCGAGTGACCCTCCCTGCGATTATCGGAAAAAACGAGATGCACGCGTAGTATGGGTATCGATAAAACATGTGCGTATACAAAGCCAGAAAAAAAAAACTAAACAGCAAAACAGACACTTTACGCAATACACAGTACCTAAATCGTAAACACGCGTAACTGATCGTTGGGCAAATCGTGCACGTAAACACGCATGACAATAATAATAAATAATAATAAATGCTCATACAGATATCGCAGATCTACGACGATAGCTATTTTATTGTAATAATAATGTAACGACACTTACGTGATCGACTGGGCAGCGTGCGATTCGCGGTTGTTTTTGAATACTCGCGCGACGATTTAAATAATAATAATAATAATTTCATAACTTACCCATAATATAATAACTGCACTGGTTTATCGAGTGATGACCTAGCTAAATTAATGCTATTGCATGTGTAGCGTGGCATTAGACCTTTTCTTCGGTGATAATGTGTGACCTACACAGCAGTTTCGTCTGTATATCTCCGGTCGACAGAATCAACTGATATATAAAATATTTTGATAATATTCTTACAAACAACCTCTAAACGAATCGTCAACAGGATATTGGGTTTGTGTGTTGTATGGGATGTATGTAAAACGCGTATGATGCCGAACTGAAATATCATAAAAGAGCAATAAATTATTCGATATTTTTTCCGTTAAAAAAATTTAATCATTCAATATTATTGTGATGTGTAAGTATTATTACGTGTTTTTGATTCTGACGAAACAAATTTAAAATGGAAAAACATTTTAATATGTCAACAAATACTCTTATAATATTTAATCGGTAAACAAAATATGATTTACTTGTTAGTTAACGTTTGGTTGCAATTATTATATCCGTAAAGCGATTAATCGATACGATTGTACCTAGTTATTGTTTGATTGTCATACAAGTAACTGCAACGGTCAGCAAAAATATAATTTTGCATCCATCCCAAAAACAAACATTATATGTAATAATATTATTGCGTTAAAATTAAAATTTTGCAAACTGGTTATTGTATCCTGTTGAAATTGGATAATTGTGTATACCTGTATTACATAGATCCATAGTAAATTAAAAATCAAGTATTTTGGGTTTTCTAAGTTGTTAATCACTCCTAGTTATAAATATTTCTTTGTGAATTAACTGTATTTTATTCGTTAGTAATATTAGTCACAAATAAATATGTGTTGGCCAAAATACGGTTCGGATAACACATGTTCCGGATTAAATATGGTCCTGATCAAATATTTTTCTGATTAAATATTGTCGGATGAAATATTTTCGACTGAAATAATGTCAGCTACAATATTTTCGGATTTTTATAGCACCTCGATTGTTCCACCGCTGGCAATACTATCGAGGAACGTCGTGCACGTTCATACATTTAGGAAATATCACTATGTGCAAAATATGTAGTAACGATGGGCGAAGTATGCTTGGAAAATTAAGACTTGTCAGATTAGGAAACTGCAAAATCCAAAGAAATCATAATAGGTAGGTACTGCAGTATTATGCGCTCTCGTGTCATCGGTATAAAGATCTATATAAGCTGTTGACGCCCTGTTGGATGTATCACTGCGAAGATCTGACATTTTCAAATCGAATTCCGATGTATAAACACAACAAACTGACCTATTTAGTCTCGCATTTCGAAAACTTTTCGCAGTTATACGTGTACGCAGCGTGATAAATAAATGATCAATTAATATTACATAATTCCAATATCGTATTCATACCGATATCACAGATGCGAAAAGCCAAAGTACACGAGTGTCGACGACGACGACGACGACGATGACGGTTTGTCGGAGAATTTTTTCGAACGTTTTTTCCTCGTAAGCGAGTTCGCGGGAACCGAATAATATTATAATCTATCAACGACGTCTCGAGATTTTTCCACCGACTATTTTCGAACTGCTCGAAATTCTCAACATTCTATCGATTTTACGGAACACACACCTGTGGTATATAATAATTTTATTGTACGGCGCAGTTGGTGTACTCGTCATTACTCACGCAGTTGACAATTGCCATCGAAGCACAATATCCTTGCTTTTACCCGCAGAGCACTCGACGCATTTTTTTTTCATACAACCATATTGGTTTTTACTTGCTTTCCGATAATATTATCGTGTTGGTCACTCCCGTGACGACCGACTTCTAGGAAATCGCACTCCACGAGCACTAACCCCAAGTTCTTGTACGGTTCTATCACATTAAATATACACACCCAACTACACAAGAAAATATAATATATAATGGGTCTAAAAATCATTTTTGTGTTTGCTTCAATAAAGTCTGTTCAGCCTCAAAATCTGAAAAAATATTATTTTATAATGATGTAGTGATTGCAGAGACTTAAGAGACATCGTTATATTATATCACGAATCGCGCAACCAATAATTTATTTGCTGAAAAATCCAAATATTATCGCACTGCAATAGATATATATATAGGTCAGTAAAATGCAACTTCGACATTATTGTGTTGCTGTTGTTTTTACTTTAAGTGATATAAATTACATAATACTATTATTGAATAATTAATTCGAATTGAAAGTTACCTAAATAAATTTATTGTGCTATTACGAGACTTGTTCGGTTTGTTTTTTATTTTTTTCAAAATTTAACACACAAGTCATATGACTGTGTGATAAAACAAATAATTCTCACAGAAAAATGACGGATATTGACGTCAATCTTGTTATCACGCGAATTAAAGATCTAATGACAATGACTAAACTTGAAAGTCAAAAGTGAAGTAGACGTGAGAATAGACGACAATAATATTATTAATCAACGCACATGACAATTTTAAACAGACCTGGATTTACTGTATGGAATTTTTATTGTTCTGTGTGATGAATGATGATGCCAATAAAACTGCATTACATCGTTTTTAAGGAGTTTGGTATAGGCAATTTTAATAGCTTAGAGAAAAACTAAAATTTGAATGCATTTATACACTCGGTAATCAGTCGTTCGTCGTCATTATCTTAATAATAGGATGATTTGTTGCACGATTATGTTGTACTAGAACATTAGTATTTCAAAAAATTTAAAAAAAGGATTTAATTTAAAAAAAATACTGACCTCTTAATCATTGAGAATAATATTAAACTAAACGAAATATGTTGTTATCTAGTGGATGAAATTTGATGTTCATCTTGTGTCTTATGTATTTCTGTGCACTTCTACATTAATACATTAAAATTGAATACATCTAATAACAATTTAACCGTAGAAAACATAAGGTATTCAAAATTTTAACTTCGACCAAAAAACCGTTAAACAATTGTACAAATGTTTGAAATTTAAGTAAATATTATAACAATTTTCCTTGGTTTTTATAATTGCGTTCAAATCAGTATTATACTGACGTATCAGACGTATTCCCACTTCTTTAAAGCAATCTGACTTATTTCTGGGTATTGCATATTATTATAATATTTTCAATGAAGCCTACAAACGTGTTTGTCATTCTTATATTGAGCTATATAATTCTTTTTGATTGATATTACATACCACTTCACTCTATTTATTTTCTGGCAAACACGAGATCGACTACTACACACATCTCCCGATATCAGACTTCTCTTTAATTCCATTACAATTTTTTTTTTATCTCTATTGATTTGTTTATTCATCGTAAACGCTCTATTTTGTACCACTTTTTATTTTCACCGTCTCTTATCGAAATACACTTAAAAAAAACTATTAAACTTACAATTAAACTTATGTACTGTAATAATTATTAATTATTCATCGAATGCCATTATATTCATCAATGTGGATAAATAATAATTTATGACTTGTTGGTGTATTAGGTTTTTTTTTTGTGAATTTTATAATATAATATTATTATTACTTATTAATGTTGAAATACAAGTGCAGTACTATCATTCAATTGTGGTAGACGAATTTCAATATTTTATTAAAATATTTTAATTTTCATGTTTATAATGTACATCTTTTCGAGTTTGTCTATGGACCGTCTTGTGTAAGACGTTTATATATAGTGCCTTGATAACTCGTTTTTTAATAATTTATTATTTCGAGTATAATTATAGGTATTAACAAGTGAAGATAGAACGCAGAAACTAACCCATTCAAAATTCAATTAAAATTCCAAAAAAACATAGGCATGAAAAAAATAGTGTATACAAACATTTATTGAATCAATGGTGACCTAATGGTCCCTTAAACATGATTTAATGGTCCATTTAGTTAATTAATTTTTTTATGCGAACCGGTAACCTTTGTTCATTTTCATAAATATCAATAGACTAATACATAAATAATTTATAGTAATTATTACTAAAATGTTCAAATTATCATAGCCCTCATGTATTCCAAAATCATTATTATGAACCTATATCATCCTTAAAACACGAAGTTAAACAACTCAAAAACCACATGTTGTAGTTTCGATTGCATGATCTTCAGAAAAATCATCCACCAAATAATTCGCAGCAAACGAATTGCGTCCCAAGATCCCTTTTTGATACAAATTGCGTCCCGATAATATTTAACAACTATACTAATTGCGTCCGATATAAATACATTATTTTCCTTTCCATTTAATACAGACGTAGGACTGTCAATAGCAACATTAAATATTATATTGCTAAAGGTAGGTTAAAAATATTGTTTTTTATCGTTTCGTAATTAAGTACATCAAAAATATTGTTTTCGTCGTTAAATATAAAAATAATAATTAATACAATTAATAATGATAAAAAAATTTCAAAAAATATTAGTTACATGTTTTTTTGAAACACTTCCAACGTTGTATATCATTTTTCAATAGTTTATGAAAACAAAATTTAAAATCGTTTATAAAAATCAATGTTTTATTTTTTTCATTTATCATAACGTCACTTACAATTAAACTCATATTTTTAAATAGAAATAGAACAGCGCACAATTGTCAACGAAACGGAATCGAAAGACATACTAACCGATTACATTTATTTCCGAAATACTCATATAGTCGTGTCGATTATTGATCGAGATTTTCAAAGGTATATTCTGATATCAGATAATCGGGACGCAATTAGTATAGTCGGATCGAAAACCCGGGACGCAATAAGTATGTCACAAATCGCAATTTTTATTTCTGGGACGCAATTCGTATGCAGCCAAATAATTTACGGTAGAATAAAGGGAGGTAGTCATTTGAAAAACAAGAGTTTGTATCTCTACAGAATGTTCCTTATAGCTATACCGAGCAGGTGCTCAAAATTTGAAAATATGGTATGCAAGTAGGTGTATACCTACCCACAAAATATTAAAAATTCCAAAATCGGATTTCGAATAACGTGCATTATTTAAGAACAAAAAAAAAAAAGGAGAGTGTGAGCAATCGTGCTTGGCGAATCACCCTGTACATAATATCATACGTACTTACAACACTGCTGTGGTTTTGTTTTTCTGATTCCGAGTTCAACTCTTATATTTGTTTCGTCCTGTTTCGCCGTCCCGGAAAGAGTGGGCCGCTATTCTCTACATCCGTCAAGTCACTCTATACCTAATCGTACGACGTGCGGGGAGTGCTGGCAGATTTTTTTCCCGACCAGTTTCGTTTTCGCTCGATCGTGATAGTTGTAATATGGTATTATTGTTATATTATCTGCCGTCGTCTTTGCCCGGCCGACCGCAGAGCACTTCGACCCTTTTCTACTTAGTAATATATCGGTGCTGCAGGTGTCGCCATTAGAGTGCCGCACATTAGACGACATTTTGTGCGTGTGTAAATATCACAGTCATAGTTATTATATATCGTGTTACTCGAGATGCCATGACGATTATTATAGCAACGACAAGGTCACGACTTTATAATGCCTCTGCGAGTTATAATTCTGTTAAACGAAATGCTTGTGAGTTACGTGTAATATAATATCATTCAACTATAAAAGAGCATAATTTATACAACTGAAGTTATTGACATAGGCGTGCGCAGGCCTAAATTTCGGGGGATATCTATACTATTTTTGGGCCCTTTTCTTAAGTTGGGTCCTAATTAGTAAGGCTTAACAAGGCATATACATATTAATCTGTGGCAGGGTCGGATCCAGGGGGGGGCCTAGGGGCCCAGGTCCCTCGCAGACATGTTATTTCCCAAATTTTTTAAATAATTCTACAGATCCTGATATTACTATATTTCAAATTACATGTATGTCTGATAATATAATATATATTATTATATGCATATCATTCTGGGGTGCACAACTAAGATAGTACCTACTATCTTAGTTCATATTGGACAGTGATTCAAACATTGTAATTTTACATTAACAAAAAATTGTCCCCCCCCCAGATCTTTGCTTTGGATCCGTGCCTGATCGATGGTATATAATTACTAGTGTCTAGTACCAATTTTTACCCATATATTATTTCCTTGGATCTAGTATCTATATAAGATGATTGCAATTTTTATTGTTTATTTTGCAGGAATCAATAACAACCGTTATGATCATAGTAAGTTATTCCTTGCAAATTCAAAACATTTATCATTTTATTATTATTTTTTTATCACGATACATGATTTATTTTTTACCAAATTTTTGAAAAAATTTCATTTGATTCTTATTACATCGGTTGAAATACGGCTCCTACATGCTCTGGGACTATAATTTTAAGGGGCGGAGCACGCTTATTATTATTGATTCAGTTTAAAGAATCCTCAAATACTTACTATGCAGCGTGATCCAGCTGATGCACCATCACTCCTTATCAATTTCAGAATTCTACCCAGTGATAGAGCTTTCCGTTTCCTATATCCAGCCATGTTTATTACTATGTTAATCACAGCCATAATAATCCAATAATTATTTATCCCCTAATAATATGTCGAACAAACTATCTCTCTACCTTCCTGGTTTAAGGTAAGCCAGCGGTTATAGTTCATGTAGTTATTATGACCAATCAGTTTTACTTATCTAATGTTGTACCTGCTGGTTATGTGTGTCAATTTGTATTGTATTAATATTAATATTTACAGGACTTTGGGTCTTGGTCGTATCTATTTATTATTTAATGAACAAAAACAATGAACAGTGCCTTCACATAATCGTTAAATGGTTTTACCATTACCATAATATTTTTTTTTACACAAGACTTGGGTCCACTGATTTTTTTAGAATCGTTATAGTAATAACACTGTAGGAGAAAGTCAGACGAAAAAAATATGTATTTATAAATTACATCATAATACAGTGCATTGCTTGTATATTGTTTGAGGGGCTTATTAAAATGTTTGGTAGGTTAAGCCCTTCGAGCCTACCACTATTTTTGGGACTTCAAAATATGTACTTGAGAACATGAATTAACTCGGAACGTTGCGTGATTATTTGTTAGAATAATATCATACAATAATTATTATTGTTTAATTTGTTTGTATTGTGTGTGGGCAAATTTCTCACCGTCGCCAAACCGTAAGGTTTAATAATATGTACTTACTCTATTATTCGATTTGAGCCACTTAGATATTATGCTTAAAAATCTCAGTTCTCGATTCCACCCTTCGGCCAGCTCGCACTGGCAACATTTGAAGACGTTGATCTGACCGATTATGAAAGTAACATAATAACAATTTTGTATATCTGTGTATAATACATATTTTATACACAACCTGCAGTACGAACGATCTCGTCTAATTAGTATAATATTATATTAAAACAATTCGGGCGATTAATCATAATATTATCGTAGTTATATTTTGAATAAACGTTGTAATTGGAACTCGTATTATTGTAACGTTCGATTAGAATGGCTTGTTGATCGCGTTTATCTGCGGTTACTCATACTAACGATGCAATTATAAGTTAAAAATATTTTACTTACAACAAAGCTTGTTTTGGTGGAAAAAAACCCGTGTCATCGAGATATATAACTACCTGTTATATACGTTTTTCGAGTTGTACAGTGTACATCTGTAACGCAATACATTGGTATATGATATCTAGTATACGCGCCTCGCGGAACTTAAACGACCGGCGTGGAAATTTTCAAAAGGGAGACGATTTTTTAAAATACAGTAAGCTGTCGTTTTCAGTATAATATTATATAATTTAGTACATTTTATAATATTTTACGGCGAGTTAAAATATATTAAAAAATCGACATTGACGTGTGCGATAGGTCGTCTGATCGGCCGCCTCGCGAGTCGTACCAAATGTTCAAGTGATAAATAACAATATACTACAGTTTTATGTTTTAACATTTAAAATATTGTGATTGTCGTCAATCGCCATTATACAACAGGTGGTGGTCGTCGTATACAAGTGGTCATTATCTCCGTTTGTTTCGTCTCGCTCAACACCTACATCGTAAACTAATATTTATATTATATAATATAACAATGATACTAGTAAACGACTCACATCAACATATTAAACGTATAGAGTGTCAGACATGGTAATGATTATTATTTAATACGATAATATATATTATATTGCATACCTATATTGTCGGCACGATTGCACGAATATCCGGTTCCGCACACGAACGTGCGATTTATGTCTCGAGCGGTCACGACCAGGAAAATTATAGACAAACTTATAAACTGGGCGACAAGTCAAGGCGACGACGATCGAAAGGTCTTTATTCGTCAAGAGTAAAAAAAAAACCTTATCCGCACGAGATGGGCATACAATCATACTAAATAATATCTAGCTGACACCGACCCCGGCGATAAAAAGCCCTTCTAATATTATAATATAATTTCAAAAACGAAACACAAAAAAAAACCCGTCGTCCGTGGATCGCCCTTTTTCCGGACCTTCACGATCGTGGATGCACGCGAGACGTGTACTTAACCACTTGATTTAAACTATATATTTCCGCGATGTACCCATAAGAATTGCACGACAGCGCTGTGTTATTATTATCATACACGTCCGAGACAGAGACGATTTTCAAGGAAGAAATAGGCTAATACGTATCGACAGTGTTCAAAAAATTACATATTGTGCAGTTTAACAACAAAACGTAACAACGACCTTTATCGAATTTTTCTTCTCAATTTCACCTTCGATTTGTTTCCGAATAAATGAACGGCAGTCATCTCTCTGTATTATAATATTATAATATTTAATATAATATGACGTATCGCTGATCATTGGCGGTACCTTATGTGACTCATCTCTGTCCAGCGGTGGTTACAATTTGGCGGGGCGAAGGTGCCCCCCTTCTGGTCGTCAGAGTTTCAAAGGAAAAGCATGTGCTTATCGGTTCAATGTACCTATTAGTTTTTAAATAAAGTTTTTTTTTAACTGTAAGTGTACATTTTATTAAAATTTGAGAGTTATAATAATAAATATTGATAAACACAATAACACGGCCCTGCCGTTCACCTAATAAACTATTACAATATTGTACCTATTGTCATTACTTATCAGTTATCACTTATTATCATATTAAACGGACAACGACAATAATTTAAGGCCTATATTATAACTATATGCGATCACGCCGTATAATAATATTAATAATACTAATAATCGCGGTCACGTGGTATAGTACCTATATGATACCAATCGCTTTACGTACACTCATATTTTAACTATACCCGTATGGCTGTATGTAAACTAGAAATTACACTACAATTATCTATCAAGTGAAGTTTCATTGTACTGCATAGTTTTTTACTATATTATAATATCAATTAGAATGTAGGCAATTACACTAAAATAAGGAATGACGTACCTTTGTATTCAAAAACCGTATTTATCGGATTCGGAGGGAAGGCGAGCATATAGGTTTATTTCGGGGAAAAAGTGAACTTGTTGTTGTATTATTTTGTGATGTTCACTCGCCAGTCGCCATCGTCCATCGATGTCGTCGTACGAATTCCGAGTGTGTACTAAGAGTTAAGACTAGAAATTTTTATAATATCAGTAACGATTTCATTGTATCATATTGTTTAATTAACAAAACCTGTTGTAACAGAGATTGCGCACGCGCTCTACGGAACAAGTAGTTCGGTTCTACAATCTCGCGGTTTTGACGTACCTGTGTAATCTATAATATTATGATATGATATTACAATCACAACAACAACCAAATAATGTTCGGTATATCATAAATTATAATTTATAATCGGTAACATTATATTATTATGTAGGTACTCGGAGAAGAGTAAGTTCATGTTTGAAATATTAAACGTTATATATGCAAGCTCGCGCGGTCTATGCGCGCTATTATGTCACCTTTTATCTGCGGGCCGATTAAGACGAGTTTTCGGTTCTCTTTCCTCTTCCAATTGCTAAATAATATTAAACAAATTATTACTATTATTATTATTATTACTGTTCTCCTTATCTCCGCCGCCGCTGCCGCCGCCGCCGCCACGCCTCGTCGTCCGCCGACGCATCGTCCGCACTACACATAATATTCGATACGCGCCAAAGCTGCTGTTGCTGTTGTCGTCGTCGTCGACACACGACTGTCGGCCGACATTACCAGCGAGTGCGCGTCTGCTGTCCGTCCGTTCGCCGGCGATAACGACATAATAATATTAAAATATGATATTGGTTTAAGTTCAGTTCCGCGGTTTTTTTCTTATCGTTTCTGTTTTTTTTTTTTTTTTTTTTAATTTTACTTTTATTGATGTTATTGTTATTCCGTTACACAACTGACATTTTACTCTCACTGTGCCGTAACAATAAATTATCGGTTCGATTTTTTTGACAAGCAAACCTCGACATCGTTATTGTCCTCCGGAGTCGGACTCGCCGCCTCGACGTCGGGTGAATCATAAACTGCGTTGGGGTCGGGGTCGGGGGCGATGATCTGGTCTGACCGGCAAGCGATAAAATGATCGGCAGATGGTTCGTCGGGTTCGCCGTGTTCGTGGGCTACCTGTGCCTGGGCGCGTTCGTGTTCTACCGGATCGAGCGTAAGGAAGAGGAGATTCAGCACTCCTTGGACATTATCGAACGACTCGAACTCAAAGGTGAGACGCACGCGAATATTATACTGTGTTCATGGTGCACTTGAAAGACTTAAAAAAAATTATCGTCGAGAGCCCTAAACGACTATTTGTCTGCAGAGCGAGTGATGTGCGGCAAATGTCAGCAATTTGATTACGTTTTTTGATGAAAGTTCAGCCCGGCAATACCTATAGCAGGATATAAAAAAAGGTCTACTCGGCCGATCACTTTTACCGATAAAATAAAATAAACTCGTCACAGTTTAATTTTAGAAGAATAATAGTAATAACAATAACGTACTTACCAATACATCGGGCTGTATCAGCTTCTCGTGGTTATTAAAAAAAAATATACATAACTGACCATAACACTAATCGATTCATTTTCGTTTTTTAATTTCAAAACATTTCAGGGCGGTTTACATAGACATATGACAATGATCGTCGATTTATGCGATTATTTTTTGAAGGAGAAGATGAGAACCACCTCGTCGTGGTGTCCTCTGCAGGTTCTTCTCTGGTGATTCCTAATAGACAAATTATCCTTAAAAATATTAAAAGGTAATACAAAATTAGAAAAGAGAAGACCAGGGTTATTTTTTTGAGTCTAGTTTATAATATACTACCAATAATTTTTACCAGAAAAATATAGGGGTCGAGTTTACAGTCGCCCATTTATGTGATGTATGTAGTCGGTACTGCAAATAAAATCTGTCTACACAAAGCATTTCTGGCATGTCTCAGGTCGTAACAATTGGATTTAAATCTGAGTCTCATAACAGGTACACCGGTTATACGACCGGAGAGGTTCCTCGAAACTTGGCGATAATCGAATTTCTGAGCGATGCTTAGCCGTGAAGTGCAGCTCAGCTTGATACAATAACTTGCATTTTATTCACCCCTCCAGATTTTCAACGACTTACTAAATCCCGCGAGAAAAATCGTAATATGTGCCTGTTTTATTGTTATAAAATATGCTGATTAGTGATTACATTAAACTGATTAATTATGATGATGTTTGTGTAAGTAAATTTCTATATACCTGGACGTAGTCTGAGTTTAGTTTTGCAGAAGTTAAAAATAATAATAAATATCTATAAACATCATTGGAGGACATGTTCGTATTCTCTCACAATCGTAACTGAAATATACATTTATTATAATATTACAAGTTTCAATTAATTATACATGTATTATATATTTATATTCTGACCGATTAGCTGCATTGAAATTTTATTTTTATCTAAAGATATGAAACTTTACATGTGTCAATTAAAATATCGTTAAATGTACAATTTATGTACATTGAAGTTATTTTACGCATAAATTATTACATATTATTTAATCCGATTAACAATAATTCTTGTCCATGTACTTTTTATTTATATCTTATTTTAAATAAAAATTAACACTAATAAATAACACTAGACATGCAACCAGCACTAATAAAGAGTCTTGGAAAAAGGTGGTTTTGACATACTCATAAGCAGTTATAAAGATAACTCTCCATATTTATGATAAAATAAATAATTATGATTTGAATAAATATTTCGATTTTCAAGCTAACCTCGTATAGACATTGATCGTGTAAAGGGACTCTTTAAAGTGAGGAGTTATGAAGGCGAAAATTATTAGATGTGGTATTTATACAGCAATACCGATAATTAATCACCGATAAAAAAATGTTTAAATATTATATGTTAAAGTAGTAAAGATCAATTTTTAGGGAATTCATTAAATTATAAGTGAATATTAAGTATAGCCAACTGTTTTTTAAGACTGAATAAAATCAAAAATCCTGACTTTGTTCAAAAAAAATATTTACAATTTTTGAAGTACAAGAAAAGACCTTTTTTGAATTAAATCTCACCATTGAATAAACCTAACTCCCTCGAAATAAATATATTTATATATTTAGTAAAATAATTCTTTGTTATCGCGTTTTAGTTGTATTATGTTTGACCAATTTTCTTTCTGTTCCGAACGCGCGTGCAACAGGTATGTTTCTAACCTGTAGATACACGCCTTGCCGGGTTTCAGGGGGCCCCTCATGTTTAAATTATAATATTATAAAAGTATTAATATCATATCCGATGAATATTATTCATACTACCGATCGGGTAAACCTAGTCGCTAGTATGACGACACGAAAATTTACGGAAAAATATTATGTGCGTATAATACCTGTTGATTCACGCCATGTGTTCGCATATGTTATAATAATTGGCAAATTCCCCCAAAACGGACTCGTTTTCCTGTCGCTACTATGGTTTTTTTTTCTCAAAAACACAATGTACATTTTTTTATATGCTGGACAATTTTAATGACAAATTATAATATGAATACCTAGTAGATACGCTAATGCACATCTGTGACTGGACAAAAATTAAATCGCTATTACCTACTTGTTTTATTATACTTACTACAATGTACGTCAATTTAACTTATTATACATAGTATACTGTGTTGGTACTCTTACGTATTAATGCATATTTTTATCGTTTACACACTAAAAGCGGTTGCAGTACAAAATGTGTAGGACCATCACCACAGTTCAATATTTAATTCAAGTAGTAGGAAGGGTACCCGTAACGTTGATTTAGAACAATAGGTCAATAATATTATCTATTATATGTATATAAATATATATTATGATGTGTTATTGACGTTGGATATAAATATTTTTTTGCAAATCGGTAAATAACATAAGTACGCAAAAATGGAATACACCTATTTATAGTAAGAATTTAATGTTAGCCATTAGACCAATGTACCATACAGTTATTATTATTGAGGACTACAGTAACATAATGTGTCTACTCACATTTTTTAATGTTTTTGAGGAATCCATTTAAATTGGCAAACGACGGACACAATTATTATCGTATTTGGCGGGCAAAACTCGTTTGCAAACGACAAGTTTTCGTGTCTGAACGATACAACATGTACATCATACTATACACGTATTTATATTGCACTGGTGGCGAGTGGAAATCAAGTCAATTAGGTACGCGCCAAAGCGTACAACTCAGTGCAGCGTATGTCCCCACGTCTTATATGGAAATAAAATATTAATTATTATTGTGTGTGTTGTATACTGGGTGATTTCTTTATCAGTTAACACTCATTGTCCGACAAGGCGACAAGTACTTATTAAAGATTTTAAAATATACATTTACATAACTATCGAAGTCATAACAATGGAACAATATTTGAAAAAAAATTCTATGCTTCAAGTGTCTTATAATTTTATTTATTTAACGAGCTTTTTAACTTCGTATTCCGAAGTAGAATATTATTTAGAGAATTTCGATGTTTGAGTTCGAAATTCGAACAAGTACCTACCTTGAGTAGTTAGTAAATTATTTATAACTCACTTATGGGTATTTAAAATCTTGATGAGCCGAGTGGTGTGGTACGCAGGTACATATTTGTCTGTCAAAATATCGGTCCTCTACTCCACCCATCAAATAAAATCTAAATTTGTATTAACTGTAACTAACATTAAATAGGTACTTATTAAATGGGCATTAATAATTCACAACTTTAAACATAAAAACGATCAAAAACATATCCTCCTTCAGAATACATAATTAAAAGTGTCCATTGTTATTTAAATGAGTAAACGACTAAAACTATACAAATAGTAAAGAAAAAATATTAATACTCTTCGAAATAACGTGTTTTATTGTTAAAACAATCACCCTGTATTGCAGTAATTACACATAAATACGATGGAATGAAGCAAATGCCTAAAACCTATCATAATATAATATCATGATGAGCTATATTTAAAAAAAAATATAGTTCGACACTGTAAAACAAGTGAGGAAATTTTCAGTAACAGTCATGCTCATGCATCATGTGCTACGTTTCCGAATTTCTAAATATGGTTACAAATAATACTACATGATAATATATTATAGATGATTACTTAAAAATATTATGAAAACTCGCAAAGCACTTAATTTTTAATTCGAATTCATATAAAATAAAAATAAATTTCCGAAATTCTATTTGAAAATTCAAAATTAGAAGTACATGATGAGTATATAAGCGGGACCAGCTGAGAGACAAAAACGAAACAATAATAAAAAAAAACTAATAATGTATTATATAATATAGGTACTGACAACCAGAAATATACACTTAAATAGTTAGTAAATTAAAAAAAAATACATTGCAGTGTTTAAAGCCAATGAATCCCAAAACCGCAAGTTTAAGATAAAACACAGGACAAAACCGCACAGTAGGTTAAGGTTTTAGTAAGTTAAACTTGACTCGAAAACTTGACTCTCTACAATTACTAAAACAATTATATTATATTAATTGAAATAAAAATATATGAAAGATATTTACCGTCTGCAAATAATTTTATAATTTTAGTAATCTCTTATACATCCGGTATATGGTTTTAAACCACACCGAGCTTGAGGTACTTAGACGGTAAACAACGAGTCGATAAGATGCGGTTTTTGTCCGATGACCTTTTTGGGGTCTAAATCATAAGTTTGCGGTTTTCGGATGCAACCAAAACTGTTTTAGATCCTGCAGCCATATAAATTACATCCATGAACCAGATGCGTTTTAAGTTTGCAAAAACGCATAGGAAACCGCGTAGGTATTAAACGGAACTCAAATCGTTTTCACGTTGACACGTGACCGCTTAATAACGCTAACCACTTTACAGTTGGTAGACCTATAATAGTGCTATATAGTGGCGGTGCACATTTGTAACTATATACACTTTTTTAGTATTGTTACCAATTGCCGTGGCTCTGGTAACACACATTTTTTAAGCAATATACCGCCTCACTGGTAATATATATTATTATATACCCATTAAGACGTCGAGTGTCATATACCTACGTTTGTTTGTCGATTTTTGAATGTCGGCTTGAAATTATATAGTTTATTTTATCACAAACAAATTTTAAAACACAAATGTGTCCGACGTATTAAGCATTATTATTGCCGCGATAAAATTTTTAGTATTATTATTATTACTTATTAGTATTATTACTCGGGTGTAATATAAACGACGTACAAAAAAAAATATATTTATACCTATTTATTGTTCTGTCGTAAACACGCCGTCGTCAAACTCGATTTAAAAGGCGACTGCGATGTAGGTACAAGAAACCAAAAGAAAATTGGAAAGAAATACGACGGCTCCGTCAGATTATGTCGTATAAGAACTAACGAAATCCAGTGTGTTTTCGAGTAAGAATTACGTTTTTTTTGCCCTCATATTATATGGTTACAAACGCATCTAAAGTAATAGTAATCGCACATTATACCTAATTTTTTTTCTTTTATTTAAACGTTTACAGGCTTGCTTCCACTACAAAGGATATTAGCCAGCATTTTTTTTTTTAAATAAAAACAGATTTGATATTTATTAACATTACTTCCTAATCTATCTACGAAACGATGAATTACGATTTTCAAACACACTCGCTTCTACAAAACTACACATAAGTACATAACAATGGTAAACATTTCATAATCGTCATGTAGACGTAAATTATTATGTTGATATATGTAAACATTATATTATATTATGCTTTTATAACGTTATATATTATATTATGCAAGACGTCAAGACGGAATTTTTTCTACAAATTGCGTGCCTAACCCCTCGACCGTCCACCATCAGCGTTAGCGTTCGGTACACTATCATTGCAACATATTTATACATGGAAATTTGGACTTTAAATTGATAATAATAGTAACGATCTATCCATACAATATATAATATACAATGTCATAATGATTATAATATTATTAGTGTTGAAATGTCGACCGTTGAAGAACCACCTATGTATATTTAAACTTATAGTATATACAGAGTGATTCACCGATCATATTCATCTCCCTTTGAATCCGTCAATAATGCATATGATCAAAACTCTGATTTTAGGAAATGTTAAGTGGAGGTAGGCACATCAAGATTTCAATGTTTTCAAATATTTAATTTATATATCATTCAATAAGTGTCGAAACAAACCTTTTTTTTAAACACGTGAACCATCCTTTTAACTGTACATTTTTTTTTTTTAATTTCGATTTATTAAATCCAAATATTGATATGATTTTGTGTACATTGCAAATTTTCAACAATACTTTTATACTAAGAAAGTAAAGTTTAAAATTCAGAAAGTAGGTACATTTTTAAATTTCAATTTAGGTACTTACACCGACATTTGCATAAAATGTTTCTGCTTAAGAGTAAGAAAGGAACATTTGGTGGGGGGTATTGCATTCATGCCTTGTGAAGTTGTAAGCCACTCAGTTTATAATATATTATATCTATACGATTATGAGTAATTACTAATTATTAAGTTTGTAAGTAACACTATTTTTTGTGTTTGTGAAAAAAGTATAATTTCAACTTTTAAAGTATTTATAATACTAAAGTGTTTACCAAAATTTAATGTTTTGAATGAGCCCCTATCATTATTATCATATTTTTTATTTAAAAATCAAGGTTATATTATATTATTAATCCTATTCTGAACACAATTTCGGAAAAATGCATTGATTTACTAGCTACCTATTTAAATATTTCAATTTAAAAAATATTAACCAAGGATTTAGAAAGTAATAGTAGGTACATAATATACAATAAGTAGATACAGCTAGTAATTCTAGTTGTATAGCAATGTATAGGTCAGGTTAAATATTTGCTACTTATCAGCCTTTAGTTGAATATTATAGGATACATTTTTTTTTACAGAAATATTGAAATTATCAAATCTGAAATCAATATATTATTAGAATATAATGTATTTATCCGAATGTTTGATAAAAAAAATTGGGTACCTATACTTGTAATATAATGCTATTATCGCACATGGTGTGTATAAAATGTATAATGTGTAATCTATATTATTATTATTATTATTTGGGTATACGTCATAATATTGGCTCTCACCGTATATTTAAATAACAATTTCGTTACTCGAATGCTTATGATAACACAATATTATAATACATATTTATCAGTTATTACTTTTTATACATTAGAATAATTTTACTATTTATCATTTATGTTTATTCGTATTCATCGTTACAATAATATGTAGGTACCATGTTGGACGAGTCTCGGAGTCCAAGTCTAACACGATAATTTATAGTGCCATATACTCATTATAATATATAGTGTACATAATATTAAACCTATCGATAACTGATTTACAGGAAATTTATAAACGATGGTTTCAAAGATAATATAATAATATATAGATACGCACAGTGCAATAAACATTTATTATTATTTATTGTAAAACTATACGTTTCGTCGAAGCACATTATTTGAATTATCATTAATATTATTACTGTGCGCGCGCATTTGATTTATCAATTCTCTTGTATTAAATAATATTACGATACGGATATATTTCTAGGTATCAGAAAATGTCAATTTGTTTTTTTTCCTATAAATTACATTTTCACTTATTAATTGAAAATTCTTGAATTGAGATAAAAAATTGCGATCATTTGGAAAACACTAGTTATGGTTAACATACTGCAGACTGCCTACCTAAAATGTACGAGTGAAAGAAATGTCCAACCAAGTGTTATGTAATTTGGATTTAAAAACAATTCCGTTATCTTCGAATTCTATACTGTATTTTATTATGGTACAATTTTTTTAGTAGAAACCGTGATATTTTCACTGCGCAGTACCCACGAATATAACGTGTCAATTTGCGTAAATATAATTATTATTAATTAATATTATACGTTTTAGATACAAATAACGATATAAATGGTTTTGGGGCTTGCGAATACGCAATGACCGGTCAATAATAATAATATAATGCATGCCGTACGTTTCAAGAGACCGGACCGATCGCAAGTTTTCTCGAACAAAATATTCAATTTTATTGATCTAATATATTATTATCGGCTCGTGTTCGATAAAATTTCGAATTTTACGAGTGCGCGACGGTCGCATTTGAGACGTGATTTATTGGGTCGGAGTAGAATTATTAGCACATTCGAGCGCCGCCGGCCGATCGTATTTATCTATTCGAGTTGTCGGTTTTAAGTTAATTTATATAACGAGTTCGTCGTCAAATTAAAAAAAAACAATTTTGACTCTATTCGGATTTCAATTCGTCGAGAAAACGTACAAAATATAATAACAATAATAATAATACGATAAACACTTGTGGTGTCGATTCATCGCACACATATTGTATGGGCGTATCGTTCGACGGTATTCAGTCAGCTCAGTTCGTCGCACGACCGAGTGAAAAAATAATAATAATCGCTTAACAAACCGTTAAGTCTCGCGATTATTACCGCGTGGTGTATGCATATTATAATTTACGGCATAGGTAATATTATTATATATTATACGCGCTTGACGGCAAATTGTTTTTTCCCGAATTATAATTTTCACCGTATACCTATAATATACTGTGTAGTATAGGTTATAAGTTATAACCCATCCGTGGTATCAATATCGTAACCCGCGAATACCATATAAGACCTTATGCGAAAAGTCGGTTTCACAACCCGCGGGCCCGGGTATATACCGCGTATACCTATAAATTATAACATATTTATCATATTATATTATATATATACACACTAGCTATATAGGTGCATGTTCAATAATACAATAAAAAAAAAAAACCCGAAATTCCAAGGCGAATGCGATTATTATGGTTATAATTTTTTCGCGAGATATATCGAAAGCCCATTAAAACATTTCGTCTGCACAACACGATAATAATTTAATTATATATGATATATCATTGTAGACGCGGTCTGCTATTATATTATAGGGATTCTGTTCAAGGACAAAGCTGTCTACGAAATTTTGCAACGGACCACAGTAAATCGTTCAAAAATACGAACGTTTTACGTATAATAATAATAAAGTTATAATGTCACGTACCTGTTGATACGTGCAGTCGTTTCCCAAACGTTTTCGGACCAAGTTTCCCGCCGAAACGACATGTTGCGACGCCGATCTATAACTACTGCACTTGTCCATCTGGAACCATCACTGAATTATACAATGATCATAATATTATAGGTTCGATTGAGATCGCCATAACGACGATTATTTATTTATCTACATGTTTGCCGTACGACTTTGTTGATTAACCCAACACAAATTATCATCTCCAAAAGCCTAAGAGTGCGGAGGAGACAACAGGTCTCATAAAAGTATTTTTAACATATTTATCTGTATTGACGCATTCAAAATTATATAATAACATCGTATGACAAATAGTTTTATAGTGCGTGCGGCGTCTATATTATTAAAGTTAATTATGAGATTTCTGTCTTAACGATTTTATATGCACTCTCGTAATTTGCTCATATTATATACAGAAAGAATCACCAAATACTCACATCTCAATTTTTCAATGAATTTATTCAAATCCTGGTTTTTGAAGTTTTTAAGTATGTATACTTAATAAGGACCATTTGAACCAAGTTGTCAAACACTTTGATTTTTCGCCTGGGATTTATCTGCAATTCCTGCAATTTATTTTTCTCCTATTGGTAATCACTTTTTTCCATGTGAATTGTTAGGCAGATGACTTTTTTGAAAATTTGGATTTACCTTAATCAAAATTCAGATGGTTAGTTTTTAAATAATTATTTAGTTTTGTGCACTAAGGATTATATGTCCATGTGAAAATATGTTGGAGGCTATAATAATATGATAATTCGAAAATTATAGTAATTATTACTAATTTTAGTAGTTAGTGTTATTCTATTAACATTTTAAAGTTACTAAAAATAAAAATTTGCCCGAATATAATATGGCAATATGCACTTTATTAATTGATTTTTTTACTGTAGGTATGCATTTTATATTTTTGTAAAATCATTTTTTAGGACCTTGATCATATTAATATCATAACTTATGTAGTTGATACATTATAATAATTCAGAAATTACTCTTTCTAATTTTTATCAAGTTACACCAACATTTTCGAAATAACTGTCAATTTAACAATTTTTACTAAAAAAGTTTTTGTTTAGAGTGTTATTATGCGTGGTTGATAAGTGAATCATCCTGTGATATAGATGTATCCGTTATCTTGACGAGATGTTAGTTACGGGAAATTATATATTAAACAGCTGCCGACTGCCGATTAAGGCTATGTGTTTTTATCTACATCCTCATTCGGTGCAATGTAGTAAAAGCTTGACATTTTATTATAATATATTATTTGTTACTAAACATGATAGTTGGTTTATCGTATTTATATTCTAATGGTTATTAATTACACAAATATTATTTTGAACTTAAGATGTCATAAACCGTTTTGACTATGATTTAATGGTTATATGGACGTTTAATACATTAATTAAATAATGGTCGAATTGGTTTGTCCATTCTCTGTTTCTGAAATTTGTCCACCACCCATTCGCAGTGTTCTGTTTGTAGAAAATTTGTATTTTGTTCCCGAAAAATGCCCACTATTTAGAGGTATCCACTATCGGTCCGTCGGGTTAGAATGTATATTCGTTTATTTTATAATATATACTTATATTAGGTATATAGTATATCCCAATAGCACTTTAACTTTAAGGATTAAACTGGTGGAGGGGAGGGGGGTCGAGGGGTTCAGAGACCGTCGAATTTTTTAAAAGTTGAAGATTTTTAGCGGTGAATTTATTGTTTATTGACTTTTGTATAAAAAATACTTTTATATATTCGTCAAAGAAGTAATTACTAGAATAAAGAGTTTATAATGTCTCGAATGTAAAAATGGTACGAGTGTCGAGTGTCCAGTGTCTATATTAAAATCTAAAACAATGTCGGTCGGCTTCTCCCCTTCGAAATTTATTTTCAGTTACGGCTTCGCGTACACAACCTTGCACACTATAATGCTCACTGCGTACTAAACAAAATGTTTAAGCCAGTTTGAAAATTATTTTGTTTTATTGTTGCAGAACTGCTCGCGAAACATTACACGACAATAAACGCACACGTGCGCAAACAGTTCGCCCAACAGTTTAACGTGTACTGTAACAAAACGGTGTTGGACGAAGGACCGGAAGAACCTTACCAGTATCAATGGACGTATTACAACGCTTTTTTTTTCGCGTTGACCACGCTGAGTACGATCGGTAAGTGTCTATTACGAGAATAAACGTCTACATGAAGGTCGAAGATTTTTGAAATTTTCAAAAATTCCCACCGAAAACTTGTGATTTTTGACACGATACTTTTGATCAGCGTTTTAGAACGTAATAATAATATTGTAATGACATTTAATGCTGAGTTAAAAATAAGTTAAAAACATATTATATTTATTAAATATTTTAACTCGGCGAGGAAACCTTATCGGAGATTTCACTATAATATTATACTTTGATATGCTAGGGGTGATTCTTTAATATCATTGGAGAAGTTAAAAATATTTTTTTTCAGTGGTTTAGGTAATGACAAAAATACTATTTTATTATTGTTATTACACTTTTAATTTCATATTCACGAACAATTTATTACCTACTCAGAAATGTCTGCAAGTCGGTATATAATAGTATTTAAAGTTTAGTTAAGTAGGTAGAACAGTGCCACAGTGGTACACTACAAAATGTTGGTGCACTACGCTCTCTAAGGTTTGAATACTTATAACCAGGGCTAAGGATTTTATGTGCTTAAAATCTTAAAAATATGCATATACATATGAGTCTAAAAAAATATTAAAATATTAATTTATTTTTAATTAAAAAAGACATAAAAAAACATATCTTGTCATATTACTAAAAATGTATATTTTATGCATACTACATTGTGCAAAAAAATTTGGATTTTAACTCAGCATCTTCGCTTTACCTAGCAGTAAAAATTTGTATGCAAAAAAAATAATCATTTTATAATTACATTTTAGTTGTATTCGTTTATGTAATCATTTGCTGGGTTCTTGTATTGAACATTTTCCTCCGTTTAATCATTTTCATATGTTTTACACTTTTTGTATATTATGTTGTACTTCACTAGATGGCCGTTCATATTCTACTTTAATTTTAAATAGTTTGCAAAATAAAATTCGTCCGTCTGCGGAAAATACATTATCCCCAAATTTCAAAATAAAACTTCTTAACCGACTAATTTGTGTTTTTTTTTTTTTGCATATTATACCACAAATACGATCGCTATTAAATAGAAAAAATAACGAATACAAATACGAACACGACAACGATTGACGATACATGCACACGATAACGATCGTAGTCCGTCGATCACTATGTACTGGCAAATAAAATAATACTATAAAAGACGGATTAAATAAAAATAATATTGTCCTCAGTGCTAAAAATAAAATGGGTTCCCCGTAACGCTATTGATTATCGCCTTATCGGTATTATTGCCGACAAAATCATGTAGATAAAATAAATTTACTAAAAAATTTTTTTAAGGGTAAATAATCAAAAATCATTTAAAAATATGCAACAAAAATCGATAAATCTTAAAAAATATGCATTTGTAGAAAAAAATTCCAAAAATATGCAAACATATATGCACAGTAAACTTTTAAATATTAACTCCTAACTCCACAACACAAATTTGTACCGGATCAGATTTATCCTAGTTTTATAAAAAGTTATTACGCTCTGGATAAAGGAACCACTTCTTGCGCTATAACAGCGGTGGCAACAGTTTTAATTCTGTACGACATAATACGTTGTAATCATCATCATATAATATTATGTACACTTTTTGATTCGAAATGTTCCGACGGACAGATGAACGTGTCCGTGCACGGTGGAGGATCCATCATCTCTCGGGAAATTAAACCACCAGCGAGCTATACGCGTGTATATTGTACTATTATCAGAATTTTACAAAATCGCAAGAACGACGTGCAACGTAATCATCATCATAATATATTATAATACGCAGGCATTAAATTTGTGTCTTCGCGCCCCATCGAGTGTCATAACAATTAACAGTATCGTCTCTGTGTACAGAGTTAGTTACGCCCTGCACGAAGTGCATAATATAACTTTTAAATAGGCACACAATATAATATTATAACACACATCAAACCCGCACGTGCAAAACGCCGCCTCGTGGCGTAGCGATTTTCGTTTTTTTTACGATCGTCGTTTAACCCGACACGTACACACACACACACACACACACACACACACACACACACACACACACACACAATTATATCGTTACCTACACGGTTGCGTCCTAATCGCCGTATGGGTACGCTAAAAAGATTTATCTCCGTTTATGTTATTATCATCATACGAATTAGGGTATTATACATATTATATAAGCCACATACCTACGCAATGAGTGTATAATAATAATTATAGGTACATGCGATATGATATAATACGCTGTAATAGTTACGATCGAATTATTATGTATAAGCAACGATTATTGGAATGGATCCAAATCATAGGCGATCTGCGCATGGATATATGATATACTTGTTCCTTATGCACACGGTACAAGTGCCCTTATCGAAAATCTGTGATATGGTATAGTTGAGTAAGGCTGCAGTGGTTAAAATAATATGCGGTTTATGAGTATCAAAAGTTAGTTACTGGTAAAATATAATCTGACCTTAAAGTACTGCAGGTTTCGCGAAATTGTTTATATTGTTTACGTCTTTTGAGTAAATAAAAAAAAAATGAAAACACATCCGCGTGAAATGTGTGTATGATAGCAGCGTGTTATCACACTTGTGAATATTATAATTATTATTATTGCTTTTGTGTAGTTTCCAATTTTTTATTTTTTACAACGGCCATGTATGTTATCATGTGTTTTGTTTTAATTTCCGATTATTCACTATTAAACGACTACGTTGATCGACTATTTCAATTATTACACATTGCATATTCCACAACAATGTCCGTGTACTCACATTGCACGCACTATAATATGGGTCGTGTGTAAAGTTCAAGAGAAACGGGTCTCGGTGCACCGCCCGTGTTGTGCACTTCTTGTTTACAACTGAGTTAAATTTTTTCATTGGCTATGTGAATGATTATAAGTCCGTACGTATACAATATGGAAAAAAATAAAAGGTATTTTACACATATTAATATTAAATATCCGTTACTTTTGATAACTGGGGCATAGTGATTGGGCACCTTTATGTAGAGCGAAAAAACAACGACATGGAGCTAACTAAGTTTCATCAAAAAATGGACGTGGTGACCTTTACCTCCGGGGTACAGATTTTTAAATATTCATTATGATCCGGGAAAAATCTGAGAAAAAGTATATTTTTTGTACGTAGAAACGAAATAAAACGAACACAACATATAAAATAACATTACGTATACGAATGATCTATGGGTAATCAATAAAATAAGAATATTTTCTTGTTGTATTACGAATAAGATCAATGGTTATTTGATCGAAAAAACGAGTCAGCCATCTAAAAGTTAGCACATATAGTAAATAATATTACAACGTAAGAGTGTAAGTCATGACGATATAATTTTAATCGAGTTTCCTTCAAAATAATTGAAATCGATATTAAAACAGCAGCAACATTAAAATACGTAATTTTTATTAAAAGCCAAATCTTAAACGGTAACGCGGCGTCCTGGATTGGCAATTTATAGCTACACAACTACTATCGAGAACACCTGTTAATTACAAATATAATTATTTTTATTACATGATATCTCAGGAGTGTTGTATTTTTCTAATGCATTTTCACTCACGTCGTGAGATGATGATATTGTTTTTAAATTTTTATTTGAACAATAAAAGCATATTTTCATAACCCTTAAATCGTCTTTACAATGTTTCTGAAATATTTCGGGAACATATTATAATAATATATTACCATTACATAAATATTCTATTTTTTGACTGAAATCCACTGGCCACTGGGAAATAGTTGAATACTTAATCTGTAGCTTTTTGGGCCACTCGATGATCTTTTCACGTCAGACGCAGTCCACCGTTGATGGATCAATGAACTTTACACGGTGGACTTTCACTGACCACTAGAAGATTTTTGCCGGATCAATGTGGACTCTCGTTGGCCTCTTGGCGAACTTTGTATTACATCGTAGTCTTTCGTTCTTGGGTTGACAAATTCGGAAATATGAACGTAGACATCGGTAGGTGACTCAAGAAAGGCTTTTGTTTGACAGTGGTCGATCTTTACACGCCCAACGTAGAAATTCGTCTGAGGCTCGGCAAACTCTGCACGGATGGCTCATGATGTCCGGAGATTCCACTGGCGAGTTTCGTGCTATGCGTTGTCATGATGCACTTCTAATAATAATTGTTAATGGAAATCCATGTTAATAGTATGTTTCGCATAGATATGATATGATAACTATCACGTTCGATAAAGTAATTTCTTTTGTTTTGCATAATAAACGCTTAATTAATAAAAATATATTGTTGATTAAAAAACGTAGTCATAACAATTGGTACTAGTTCAGCACACACGTGAATCTATACAACTAAGTTACATTTATACATTTAAAGCGCAAATAAGATACAGAATATCATTTATATTGTTTTACGAGAATATCATGATTAAGAGAAATGTGGGAAGTCATAGTTTTATATATATCATATATGATTTAAATAACTAGTCAATTATAGCAAATAATATATATTGCAATATAATGATATTTATAATATGTAAACCCATTAATATGTCAATTGTGCAGAGTTCGTCGAGCCATCAACGCAAGTCGACGCGTCGTTCAAAAACCACAACCGAAGATACTCTTGAAGTGGTCCACTTGACGTAGAATACTTACTAGAAAGCTATAGATGAAGTATCCAAAGATTTCCCAGTGCTCAGCGAATGTCTACAGCTCAGAGTGCTTCGAGCCATCAACGGAAGTAGACGCGTCGTTTGAAAACGACAACTAAAGATACCACACTTGGCCTTTAATACTTTACGTATGATGGAGATATGTGTTGTTTATTTGGGATGAAATTTAATTTGACTAATTCCATCGCAAATAAATCAACGCATATCTTCATCGTATGTAAAGTATTCCAGGTTATGTGTAGTTTCTTTAGTGGTCGTTTTCGAACGACGCGTCAACTTCCGTTGATGGTTCGTAGCACTCTGAGCTGTAGACATCCGCTGGGCACTGGGAAATCTTTGGATACTTAATCTATAGCTTTTTGGACCACTAGTTACAGTTTCCACGTCAACCGTTATTCTCCGTTGGTCTCTAAGAGATGAACTTCGCACCGAGGACTTTCGTTGGCCACTTGGTGAACATAGCATTATAACCGTACTCTTTTGTTCTTGGATTCTCAAATTCGTTTTCGTTAATATGGACGTAGACATCGGTAGTTGACTCGAGGAAGGATTTTGTCTAGCCGTGGTCGATCTTTCCAAGTCTGACGTGGACTTTTGTTGTCCATTGGAGGAACTTGGCAGGGCCAACTTTGAATTTCGTTGACCTTTGGACGATCTTTGCCCGGCTACCGTGGATATTCGTTGGCGACTCGAGGAACTTGGCAAAGTGATATTTGGATTTTGTCGGCCTTTGGATGAACTTTGACAGGCTAACGTGGATATTTGTTGGCGAATCGTCGATATTTCCAAGTCTGACGTGGATTTTTGTTGTCCATTAGAAGAACTTGGCAGGGCCAACTTTGAATTTCGTAGTCCTTTGGACGTTTTTTGTCCGGCTAATGTGGATATTCGTGGGCTGCTCGTCGAACTTTTCACAGCGAACGAGGATTTTTGCTGACCGACAGTTGTCTGGTACTTAGTTGATATCTCATTATTTCTAAAAGGTATAATACCACGTTATATTTACATATCGGATTTATTTTCCCTACAAAAATATGTCTAAATGTAGGCTAAAACACGAGTTGGACAAGTAAATTACGGTCGATTAGTTTCAAAATTACCACCTAGAAAAACATTAAGTCACATAACGTATATACATTGTATTTTCATTAAACGGTAACATATTATTATAAATTATAATACGACCAAATACTTATTATTTAATATTTATAAGTCTTAGATCCCGTAATTATAATATTAATCACGAAATATTGTATCAGCGAGCGCTCTTATTATCAATGGCTTCGGTTTTCGCGAATATCTCAAGCAAAAACCAGTTAAGTCGCACCCATTAAAAAAAAAAATGGGTAGTATTTCATAAAACCTATTCGACACTTACTTTTTTTTCAAAGTAGACTTTGAGGTGGAACACGACGGTTTCGTCACTGGTGACTGTTTTCTAGAACAATTGTCAGCAGTGGGTTCATACGGCACCCAATTAGTGAAAAACATGTCGTCCGGGTAATAGAGGCCACGTGTCGATTTATTAACAGGCGGTTTAGTTTCTGAAATTCTGTATAAAAAACGATGAAAATCGGTGTCAAATTATTTTAGCTCGAAATATCATTGATTATCTTACTGTCGAACAATAGTTTTTCGACTGTTGGATTCCGACAGTGCCCGCCCGACATCTGAGTCGGTCGCATCTCGGACTCCAAAATAATTGTATGGTGCACAGTCACAACGAGCAAACCAAATAGAAGTGAGAGAAACGCTGATCATAAAAATCTCCCAAAAGGATGACATTATGATATGATTTCTCGTGTGAGTGATAAATATCCGTAAGACGTAAATTTACAGCGTGTAAATATATGATTGACCTTCGTAGAGATTCTTCGGACAAATGACAAGCTCGTTTGAAAATATATATTGTATAATATATTAGAACAAAGGCAGTTGTTTATGTTGACAACTGAAAATGACTGTCAGGGAAACAATATTACATGGAGACGACAGAATATTGACTAATAACATTATAATATAATACTACAAAATATAAAACGAACTTTTTCGAGATTTTTAATAATGTGTTATTGTCAATCCCTTCCCACCCACCCAACAGAGTTCAGATGCGCCAATGGGACACAATGAATTACGAATTTATTAAAATACTATGCTACAAATAATAAAATAGAAAATATTAGATAAATATAAAAAAAAATGATTTCAAACAAACCTCATTCGATTTTCGTTATTCTTGATTGTATAGTTTTTAGGTTCCATTTTCTTAACCGATGCCCGTATCAAACAACTGTAGAAGCAGGTCCAATGTCGAATAAAATTGCATTGTCGATTGTCAATCTACAAGACGTGTCGTATACGATTAGAGTAACAATCAATATTGTGAAGTACCTGGTATTAACTAATAAGTGAATAATATTAATATGCTCACGGGCAGAGTATTAAATCGATTTCATGTTTATAATGTTATAACTGCGCTTTTAATATTATGATGGAGATTGGAGAGCTGCAGGACGGTTATGAGTATGCACATTGCACAATGCACATCATATCTAATGGCACATGTATAAGTATAAATATATACAATTAAAGTAGCTATATGTGCCGTGTAAATTATATAAATAAATAATTACCTACTTTGTATACGTACATGAGTGTGCTGTGTGCAAACGAAAAACATATTAAGTTGATCGATATTAAGTTTATACAATATCAATATTGTTTGTGTTCAAGAAAATAAAAATCTAAATCTATTGTCTGAATTTGGTTTCAAGTCTTTCATAAATGTTTTTAATAGATTACCTACGGGTTTTAACCATTCGTGTTTAGACCACATATTATGTATTAATTGTAACGAAAACCAAATGAGTAATACCTATTCGGGTGTGATACTATCAGAGAGCACAGATCACTGTACAATATGTGTTTCTATACCTAACAATGCCAAAGTAGATAATAAGGACAAAAGGTGTAACATTATTGATTATAATAAAATTGTATCTAATTTACTAAATGAAAATTGGAATGAAGTATATAATGAATTCTGCGATGTCCATAAATGTTATAATGTCTTTGATAATATAATTCAAAATGCAATTACTAAATCAACAACTACCGTATTAATGAATGCTAAAAATAGGCAACTAAAAGATTGGATGACTAAGGCTTTATTAATTTTGAACCGGCACAAACAGTCTCTCTCAATGAAATGTAAAAAACACCCTAATAATATACAGTTAAACTTACATTATAAGAAATTCAAAAACTATTACACAAAAACTATAAGGCTAGCCAAAGATAAAGGTTATCAAATAAAATTTAAAAATGTAAGCTCGAACGCTTAGTTAATCAGGAAACTAATAAATAAAATTACTGGATCTAAATGTATAAGTGATAATGAAATTATCAAAATAAAACTTAATGATCATGAAATACATACTAAAAATGATCCCATAACTGCGTCCAATATGTTTAATATTTTTTTCATTAATATCGTGAAAAACACAACAAATAACACATCTTATTCAGAAAAAAACTATGAACTCAAAAATGTTTCTTTTAGTGAGATTTTTTCTAATACAATCGAATCTTCAGATATACTTAATATTATAAACAATCTAACACGCTGCAGATCTAACACGACTCGAATAATGTTTCGCAGTTCTCATTGTTTTGAAAATATCCACTTTATTGTTGAAAATGGCTTACTACAACTTTTATAACATTGTATACGATTTTTATGGTCTATGATTTTTTTGGGAATACACGTCGTCGACGGTAAAACGGCGTCTGTTCGTAATAATGCCTATATGTACAAACTGTTGGGCGTTTTCAGGATTTGAAATTCAATGACTCCGCCCGTAATCGTTTAAGGAATGGTCATGAAAGTGACTTGAACGACACTATACAATACAGTATAATAATATAAATAAATCATCTTATACTACCCTATCAGATCGTAACAGCATCGAATAATATTTTTGATTGTGATTGGGTCGTATATTATAAAATCATTTGTTATAGGTTATGGAAATCTGCACCCGACTTCCGGGACCGGGCGCATACTGGTGTTGGTGTACTCGTTGATCGGCATCCCCCTCAACGGTATCGTGTTGACGCAACTGGGAAGCTTTTTCGAATCCAGAGTGAGTACCTATACTTAATACAATACGATCGGGAATTCTTCCAGTTCTGTGTTTATTATTTTAAGAATTGAATGCCCGCCATGACTCCCTTGTTCTTCGTGTCCTCGGTACTGCATGCAACGTCGTTAGCTCGAATGTAATTTTCTTGCTATTTTTTCTTTTACTGAATTTTTTAATTTTCTAAATCTTTGTTTGCCTGCTTGGTTTTAACGTATTTTGAATCTGGCTCTATTCGTTTACATGAATATAAATAAATGTAACGATTTAACGTGCTGTGTACAGCTTGTAATGCCTATAGAGCGTGATAGCGTTCTACTACAAAACCAATTATATAAAATTTCGAATCTCGATTGAAACTATCACCAAATGCTCGAGCGGACAACCCGATCCGGTTGTTTACGGTAAAAAATCGATCAAGCCTGTTGAACAAAACGATTCCACTCAAAAATTCGTATTTTCGTTCCGCCCAGTATTGTACGGGATTTACTATAACACGTCATAGATGACCCACCCCCACATGCAAAAAAGCGTCCACCGTAATCGTTTTACGAATATAATAATAAGCCATCATTGACGTTGCAGTCGCGCACTCACAATGCGACACGCGTTTTGCGGCCGAACCGCCGGTGCTGGACCGGATATCAATTTCCGGTGCCGAAAACGAGTACGGAAGATCGCGGCAGGGTCGATTCTCGGGGGGGGGGGGGGGGTCGCCGTCGCCTATGGTTACTGGGTAATAGGCATACACTTTAATCGGTATTTATGGTATTTAATACAGTTGCACGGTTGACGGGTTCAATTACACGGTAGTCGGGCACGCACCCGCGACATAATAATCATTACGAGTGCGGCGCAGGTACAATACGTTTAAATAATATTGTGGTACATTACCTACATAGTAAATTGAAATTGGATCGTATTGTAATATGCATAATTATTATTCGGCATTGTAAAGGGTCTGACACGATTTCGAAATGTTAGCGATTGATCAATCATTCTAAATACCAATTCTACTTGTTCGATTACAGCTATAGCTACCTGCGTGTTATATAATAACATATTTAAATAAAACTCATCGCCGAAAGTAACAACTAATGAGCGCGATAAATCGACGAACTCGTATATTAGGTATATTATAGTAGTGCTCGCAAGTAATAATCATAGTATATTGTGAAAACAGATACGCGGTAACGAGCCTATAACAACGATACTTCGATAAATATATAAATATGATTATGACTTTATTTTATCAAGTACTTGTACTTGAAGGCGCGCCTATATGCTGAGCTACTAAAAAAAATGTTAAGACATCCGACGGACGTAATATGTTACATTCTTCGAGTTTATTGTCTAAAATATATTGGTGTCATATTGTTTTACGATCGTCGACAATGCGGCTGCAGATATAGGATATTATTTGTTGTATTAAATATTAATATTTAGTCATATATTCTATTCTTTTGGCAATGTTACTCGAGATAACATTTTACACTCGCACTTCGTGTACTCGATGAGTCATAATATAGTGGCATATACCACGGGATAATGGGCAGATACACTCGTATTTCGTAAAACAAACAAAAACAAAAAAAAACAATTTCTTCGCATTCGAGTACTCGTTATGTATTTAATTATATTTATATTATATTACATGTTGTGAATCCGTCCATAAGGTTATATGAATATTATATTACACCAGATGATAGCCATAGAGGGTATAATATGAGTAGCAACGTTGGACTCACATGTATTTATATTACTCTGTAATATTATAATTGTCATTATCGTCGTGTTGAATGTTTGAGTACAACGATCAAAAGTGTAGATTGAGTGAAAAAAAAATGATAAAACATGTTCATGAGCTGTACAAAATAAAGTCTCTCGTTTACATAAAAATGGCTGACTGCAATAATTAAGGTGGAATGCGAATATGGAGCGGGAGCAGTGGAAAGTCGAACAAACAGACGTCAGGGCCGTATTTACGATTTTCGTGTCCTGGGTCAACCGTATTTTCACACCTCCCCATCCCTCCCACGCCAAAAAATAGATCCACTTTTTTGATTTTTTTTTTTAACAATATGACTTTCCTAGTTATAAAACTAATATTTTCGTAATTTTTATTACTCAAAATTTAACTTTAAATTTGCTGTAAATGGTGCAGTAGTTTGTTAGTCTATTAAGGTGAACTTTTTGCATTCTTAATAGAGGGAAATAGTGAATTATATCAGTTTTGTTTTTGGTGAGTAATTTTTTGCGATCCGTTATCGTTGTACAAGACCATGCATTTTGCAATGCTAAATGTTGTTACATTGATAGCAAAAAATAAAAATACATAGGATAATTTAAATATTATATAAATTATAAATATTATAATAATATATTAGAGCCCGGTTGAGGTGTCACGCATTTCACCGTCGTGCATGTATACTAGGTAATCGAATTAATAACTAATTTTTAATGTTTTTCTCCCGAACTCAACGTAGATTCTTCGAGCTCATTACAGCTACAAGACTCAACGGATGATGGGACCCCAACTGAGCCTAATCCTGGACATAGTAACGTACCTGATACCCGGAATAATCGTCTTCATCTTCCTCCCGGCTGGCATCATATCTTTTTTCGAAGAGTGGACGTTCGACGAGAGCGTATACTTCACTTTTGTCACGTTGACCACCATCGGCTATGGAGACTACGTCGCTGGTATGGTATAATATTTGATAGCACGCCTAGTGATCATTGACGGACATTTTGATGAGATAAAAATCTGAAAAGATAATTAATATCATATACAGTATTAAAACAAACACTGACTTGAACGAAAAATTAATTAACTATGTAGGTATTTAATTATATTTTCCAATAAGTGTTTAAATGTAAATACAAATACGTCTACTTAAAATTTTGTACTACGATTTTCCGGCTCATGTTAACCTTCTTTACTTAGATCTGGACGGTAAAAATAAAATTGATTACAAATTTTCGTGTGTATACTTAATGCTCAACGAAGTAAACACTTAATAAGTATCTACCTACGTGTATTAATATATTAAAACATTGTCTCGTTTCGCCACGTATGAGTAAGAGGACTCTGAGCAGTGCCGTACTTAGGGGTGGGGTTTTTGGGCTTAAGCCCCCTGCCCCGAAATATCAATTTTACTTGACAGTGCCCTAGCTCTAGCAATAAAATATTGTAGCCCTCCCCCCTTCCCAAAAAAAATCCTGGCTACGGAACTGACTCGGAGTGTCTCGAGGACATTCGCATATAAAAATCATATGAAAATGTAATAATAAAAACAATAGCCTCCAAAAACCAAAGGGCTTACAAAAGCGTTGCATTTATTTAAAATGTTCAAACTTTTTGATCACTCCGGTGTCACAGACATACCCAACTATAACTGACGACGACGACCGCGTAACCGCGTGTTTCAGGGCAGAAAGTCAACACCGGAATATCGTACGACGCTTACAAAGTGTTCCTCGTGTTTTGGATCATGTTCGGTCTTGGCTACCTATTCATGATTCTCAGCTTCATATCGAGAGCCATGCGGTCCAAGACGCTCGAACACCTGTTCCTGGAACGGCTCAAGCAAACCCACTCGAAAATCTGGCACCAGTTCACCAAGGACGTCGTGTACATTAGACGCGTGCTCAACGAGTCGTACCTGTTGAAGTTTAAAGTTCGTTTAGTCATTGGCATATAATATATTGTAAATATGTACCTATTATGTGAACCGGCTAAACTAAAAATAACTATTATCATCATTTACACCGCTATTTGACAGTTGTGAGGTTAAATAAAAATCAATTTCTAGAAATTCGAAAAACAGCTGATATCTTATCGGCATTTTATTCGAAATCTAGCAATCATTAAAACTATAAAATATTGATTCGGCAATCGATATTTTAATTTTTAAAATAGGCTTATAAATATATATGACCGTTTAATGAATAATAAATGAATAATATATGAATATACAATAGAACGCTAAAGTTATGGAATTTAAAACTGAAAGAATTTTGATTTAAAACTGTAAGACATACCCAGGTATTTGAATTATATATTAGATACATATAAAATGTTCATGATAAATAGTGTGTAGCGTTAAATAAAAATATATTGCAGTTAACGATGCAATATTGAAATATAAAAAAAAATACTTTCTGTTTTAGCTAAAATGTTTGTACATAATTTGAAGTGTTTATAACTTCATATATAATTAAACTACTTACATTATCGTTTAATGTATTAGTTAGTGTTTTATTTTAGATACCTATTAAAACGTATACTATACTTTTTATTTCATGTTATGGAGTACAATTATGTTGTGCTTTTCTAAATATATTTAGGCATTCATAAGTTAGATATTATTTTTTTATTATTTTTTTATTGGTACCTACTTAATTATACAAGTTTAATGTTTGAACCTTGTCATTTACTTTAACCATCAATAGTTTTATAAATTATCTAATATCGATTCATCGATATTTTTAGAAAATTATCACCATCATATCTGAAATTAAAACGATCGTAAGCTGTAATTAAAAAACTAATTAATCTGAAAAACCGCTATGATAGAAAATGAAATAAAAACATAGTTGCAATTAGTTATAAATTTATAATAGTTTTTACTCATGAATATTAGTCTATTTGTATGTATATATATATATATAAATAAAAAAACAAAAAACGGCTGAGATTAATAAGCGTTTCTGTGTATGCACACGTTTAATAATGGAGCGACCGGCATGTTGTTTTTACTAATCCTCTCACTTATTTATTTCAGAGAGGTACAAGTTTTGTTTGTTATTTGTTTGAATGTGTTTAATAGTTGCCAGAATTTGTTTACGTTGATACAGGACTTATTCAGTTTTCTGCGTGGAGGGAAGGGGGGGAGGGGCTGTAAAAATATCATTCATTGTGTGTTTTTTTAAATTTTATAGTTGAATTATATAAATTAAATAAAGAACGCTATTTTTAATTTGTTTGATGAATTACGGCATTTATTTGTCATATATCTCTGGGGATCTATATATTCCCAGCTCTTTTGATGAAAAATATGGTGGAAGTCCTGTATAGGTACACCGAAGAAATTCTCGAAACTATCAAACACATTAAATTGAAAAGCTTTTTAAATAATGATATAAAAAAAAAAATTAAAAGTATCTATATAATTTTCAACCACTTTTTGGGGACTAGAGAAACTCGTCTATACCTCTCGCTCACGGACAAATTTGAAAATGAACAAATAAAATATGAAAGTAGTCGGAAATCTCAGGTTTCAAATGGGGTAGGGGAGGGTCAATGAAATAATATGTCACTCGTAACAACATAGCAATAACAATAAGCCTACGACAACAACAACCTAACTGTGTGTCCGTTTAATGTGTCCTGTGCAGCCGGTGTACAAGAAAGAGGCGTTGTCACGTGACCAACCGCTAAGACGGAGCCGGAGCGCGCCGAACCTGACCGAGTGGCCGGTGTTGTGCAAGGTTCTGGCTGCAGTTCCGGCGGCGCGCCGGACGTCCGACGACGAGGACGAGGAGGCGGTGCGCCAGCGGTTCGAGAAGCACCGGATGAAACGCCGGCGGGCCTTGTCTCAGAACAAGATGCGTTCGCTGCTCCGGCGCACCAAGGCCACGTCAGAGATCGACTTGGCGCACATCGACAAGGAGGCCACGTTCGGCGCCGACATAGCGTCCTACGAGATCCTTTCCCGGGTGGTCGACGCCCTGGAGACGGCCGTGCCCAACCAGCCGGGTGACCACCAGCACCAGCACCTGCACCAGCACCAGCACCAGCACCAGCACCCGCAGCCGCAGCCCGTCCACCACCATCTGCATCCGGATGCCTTTAATTCGGTGAGTGCATCCTTCACGGAAGTCGTTGGGAAAACGGAAGAGATGGGTGAGAGGGAGGGGGAGTGGATTTCCTGGGCGAGGCCAAGCGATATCGTTTTCCACTAACGTTAATTTTTCTAAAAAAAAGGAGCATTCCAATTTCTTTCATTGATTTGTTACATATTTAACAATATTGAGATTGCTCCGTGGAGGGGGGGGGGTAGTAGTGGTTTATTTACTAACAGATTTCAAACGTTATAGGTACGTATATACCTACTGCGGTTTTCGGAAAACAGAATTTACCACTGATCCGAAAACCATTGACCCTCATTAATCATAGATTTTCAACAGTTGAAATGAAAAAATGGAGTTTTCGGTGTCCAAATTCGATGAATTGTTTTTTATAAAAGTTCAGTCCACTAAAATCAGCTAACATATTATATTTTTTATATGTTCGTGTATCTGGTTGTTAGTAGTTAATTTGATTTTGACCGTAGCTTTTTCTGCTAATCAATAAACAAATACTTTCCAACATCTCGACCGTCATCAAAAATTAAACTTTGTGTATCCTGCTTTGGGAAAATATACAGAAAAATCTCTTGAATAAAGAAATTATTGTTTCTAAAATATAATATATTGCAACTAGAGCAAGAAAAAAGCGTTGTCGTTCTCCGAGGGCGTGCAAGGGTTCACGAACGAGGACATACTTGCCGGCGAAAAGAACGAGTGGACAGTCGGCGGCGACATGTTGAACAGGGAAAACACGTTCGGGTCCAAACACAGAAATTCATATTTCGAGTATGACACGTGGGGTGGAGGTGATGATCAAAATTTCAGAAAGTAAGCGAATCATTATTGGTGTTCGTTAGAACTTAGAACCAACTCTAGGCAAACATAATAATTACTTAATACGTTTTGACTATGCGCCACAAATTATAATTGTAAGTACCTACGTGTTTAATCGAAGAGTTCAACGTCAATTACATTCAATCAGTTATTCCAATTTTTAACTCAACTTGTCATAATAAATTTGTCACGACTTAATAATTGTGAGTTACGAAAATCTTTGAGCCAATGAAAAGGTGTTTCCTGCTTAAACTTTTTTGTCACCCGTGTAAATTGGAAATTTGGTGCCAGAACTCATAAAATCATTCTTTTCACGGTACATATTTATAAAACCTATAAAATATTTATTGTGAGTTTTATGAAGTACTAAATACATATTGACGAATAAAACATTAAAAAACCCGCTAAGAGTTTTTATGGGGTATATTTAAAAATAATTAATAAAAAAGTCATGTTAAATTACAAAAGTCTCCATAGTCGATAGAGATGAACATAAAGTGATATTTTTCGAGCGACAAAATGTATAAAACCGCACAGTTGAAAATATGACAAAAAGTAACATATTAAACAAAAACTACCATAATAGGTACTCAAAATTGAAAATGTCGAAAAGAACCACCTCGCACTGCACGGAAATAAACGAACACAAAATAGTTTTTAATATTAAGTTTATACTTTGACAAAAAACCATAAGGTTAAAACTAAAATATATTTTATTTTTATTATCGCCTGCGGTAACGCGTGTTTAAGGTCGACGACTGTTTGCTTTGCATACATAACGATAAACGTATGTTATCATAGTCATTGAACGTAATTATTATTGTGTTCTGACGAAGACGCAACTAGTCGGTGTGTTAGATGGAAAAAAAATATATTAAAATCACCTCGCTGTAAAAGGTCGCAACGCCGAATAATATATCATATTTATGTGAAAGTCCATAATTTCTTTAAAATTCTCCATAATATACACCACACACGATAACGATTAAATTCGATGTACGACCGTGTACTATCCGGCGTATACTATGGCCTTCGATTTCGAGCAGACTTATACGTTTTCGACGGCCTCACAGTTTTGTCGGGGGCAAAAATCTGCACAATTCACCAGTGGATTGTGCGCTTATCGCATTGCATTATGTTTATTGTGCATTGTAAACACAATACTTTCGTGCTTTGACGACTTCTCGGTCACGCTTAGCAATGTCACGACTTTAAAATCGAAGACGACCGAATCGACCGATACATTTTGTATAATATTATTATTATAATCCACGCAAGGTGATTATACTGACGAATTTTTACAAACAACGATATCGTTCTATTAATTATTTGAAAAAAAAAAAAAATGAAAAAAGTCACAATGATTATTCTACTGTTGACTGTCAAAGATCACGTCGAGCAAATCGACAAATCCTTGAGAGCAATGTTATTTTTGTTTCATGAAATTTGTTATTTGTTTACTCATTGAATACAATAAATAAATTAAAATTACAAACTTCCACTTATTTTATGACTTATCATACTAATTCCAAAAACAAAACTTAACTGATTATTCTTACCATACTTTACGATGACGTTTGCTTTTGCAGGTTAAACGATTACACGAAACACGGTAATGGTAGCCAGAACAAGCCGCGGGTACCGAAGCTGCGTCGAATGTCAGCTGCCGCGTTCAACTTTCTATCCAACAACATTGCACCAAAGTGGTTTGCCGACAAGTTGGCCGACGGCAGTGGTGGCGGCGGTGGTGGCCAGACCTGGAACGACGATCCCAGGCACAGGCTGTCGCTGAACGACGACCAGGGTTACGGTTACGGGTCCACGTACAACGGCACGGCGCCTGTCAATCGTACCAGCGCGCCGGTACAGTATCACCACCGCGGGTCACACGGCCTGCAAGTAGTGCATGACCCGCACGTGTACGGATCGTCCGCGCCAGAACATCAGCGACACCGCCGGCTGTCCAGCCCTGATCCGGTGCTCGCTCACTGCGCAAACACCATCGCCGTGGCAGATTTTCTGATGACGTTGCAACGGTCACTGGACGGTTCGTCGGTCACTGGACAGCATCCACCGCTATCGTCCGGAACGCACCACGCCACTAACCGGTCAGCGGTCACCGGAGGCGGATTCGCCTCCGTCATGCGGCACGAACGTCGGTCACCGCTGTTCACGCTGTTCCAAGATCGGCCCAGACGGGCGTCCGGCGAATCGTGGCAGTACTCGTCGCTGACGTCCATCGTGTCGTCCACGTCGTCCACGGTGGCCAACGGGACGACGACGCCGGCCACCGCCGATGGTACCATAAACGCGGTAACTATGATACGATAATATGCACATTAAGTTAAATATTGTTCACTGAAGGTGTTCACATGGGTTCACGGCTACATCGACAGTCATGGCGTGTGTCTTTTATCCTATTTCAATCGGCAGTTTCAATCGTGGTATCATCAACCACAAACCATGATCTATTGAAAAGTCTCCAGAGTTGGGGAAGCGCTTAAACACAAAACGACAGGTGACGCAGCTGTGATCCCTGCAGCTTAAAGCTGGATGCACAGCTACGTCGTGTGTCGTGTCATCGTGTGGATCAAATCGTATTGGACATTACTTTTTTGGGGGGGCGGGGGGAGGGTTATCTTTGTGTCTTTTTTCCTTCAGGCTCACCAGCCCACATTAACCTTCTTTTCCCGGCTTTTCTTGATGTGCGTGGTTTTTGGAACATGTTATGAAGTTTTTTGATTGGTTTGTATTTTCCATTCTTCGGTTCTTGGGTCAATATATTGTCCATAGATTCGTCTTAAAACTTTTCTTTCGAAAGTGTCTAATTTTATTTCCTCTGTCTTTCATAGTCCCATGATTCTGAGCCATAACGAATAATGGAATGTTTTAATCATTCATATAAATGTATAATAGTTTATGTACATATTTATATAGTAAACTCAATACATACATTACTCTGTAGTTTGTGTCCAGTGCACTAATTTTATCATCGATTACAACTGCATATTTAATATGGACCGTTTGCAGTGATGTTTATTTTGCCGTAGCTAATGTAACACATATAGCCCAAACTCTAAAGCATACTTAGCACATAATATATCTATTTTTTATTTGAAACATTTAATGCGCAAGTGAGGCGGCTGTTGGCGTGCCACATGTGCGAAACATCTTATGCGGCTTTAAAATAAAGAATTATTTTTCTTAAAAATATCTGAATATACTCGGCGACTAAGGCCATTAGCTGTTGTAAGGGTTATGAACTGTGGTAGGGGTAAAGTTAGTTGGTTGTTTTTTTTTTACGATTGTTACGGTAGATAGCAAACACGTGTATGTGTGGCAAGGTTTTTAACTACTATGAAATATGAACCCGGGTGGTCACTCATCCGGGAACTAGTAGCTGTGGCCGTTACTTACTCTCAGCCGCATTCCGCGACTGGCAGCAGCCAACGCGCCACTCCAAGCCACCTGAATATTTTGTTTTGGATTGTCCCATGTTTATTTATTTTAATAAACCATTCTTTCAATTTTCATGCATATTTTCTAAAAAAATATAATTTCCATAATTCACATCTACCAGGCATCTCGGGACGGCTCACTTTTTTTTATTTATAAGCAAGATTCAAACAGCTAAGGTATTAGCCTAAGGCTTATATCCTACATTTTATAGCAACTAAATTAACATAAGAAGTAGATTTTATGATACGAATAAAATATAATATTATAAGAATAATTAATACATTATTATTAGTTACCTATTTGTCGGTGGCTATATGAAATTGAGGGGTTTATTTATTAAATTGCATTGAGAGATCAGATCGATTATATTTTTAAATCTCCATCTTCCTTGAGTGTTTGTTTTTGTTGTTGTTGTATTTGGTGGGTATTGGTGTTTGAAATTCGAGGGTGTCATTTCATATTTTGAACATTTTTCGAGAATTGTATGATACTGAGCGGGTTCAGTAAGTGTTACAGCTTGGTAGAGGGTCTTTAATGATGGGGAAGGAGTAAATTAGAAATTTGGTACAATTCTTGTCCTGGGGACGACACGCGGAGTGTTTTGGAAGAGCAAGAACGAATGAGGTTTATTTTAGCGTTTATACTGTTGTTGACGGTTAGTTTTCTGTAAAAATATAATAATTTAAAACTGTAATCAACAGGTCCACGAACAACCCGCGGCGGTGGCAGCCACGAGGAGGTCGAAGAAGAAGCGCACTAGGCGGTTCTCGATAAGGCCGACTGTTGGAGCGGCAGAGCCCAACGGCGGAGTCCGGTGTTGGACGACGACCGGAACCAACAACACCACCTGTGGCACCACCGACGACTACGCCCTCAAGGGGAGAGGAGCTACAACGGGACCGGGTGCGGGAAATATAGAAGCCAGCGGAGGAGACGTCCGGCTGAACATCGAAGACTGACGGCGGACGACGTAACACACACCGCCCGCCCACCCACCGACAATAATACTATAACAATTATTAATTTGAGGCCGGAAGTACGCATCGATTTTTTATAGCAGATCGAGCGTCGTCCGCTGTTGTCGATCAAATATAAATATATATATATATATATACATATAACACCAAACTTCTATATATGTATATATATTTTATTTCATGAGTTATGATTATTTATAACGATTATTATACATTTGTACTGCATTATTAATTATTATTATGATATTATAATTTATTGAAAAAATGTTTTCAATTTACAACGCACGACGTCATGATATTATTCGGTTACCGTTGTGTTATTTATTTTACTTAACTATGTATACAATGTGATATATTATCCAACCAACACACGCGGTGCGTATGATATTATTAAAAATAGAATTTATAAAAAATCAAAAACGTCGTTTTTCCTTACCTATCATCGTTTATCACTGACGAAAACCATTTCGGGTGTACATACAGGCTGGTTGTGATACAATAATATACTATCATAAGCCTAACAAGAGTTTCGGATCAGAAGCAATCGTCTACATTCTACAGACCTACAGTAAGCTGTCGGTGGTGTAAGTGCTTATCCAAATATTTTCTCCACTTTTCGATATAACGAATACTTTGATTTAAACGACTATCAATACTTACACTGTATTACACTGATCGAGCGAGCTACGTTATAATCACAGTTTTCGTAAATGTTAATAACTTTGCAACGATGTTCTCATTCCAAATCACAGTTTAGTGTTTATTAATTGGTTAACATAATATTATTATTTATTTATTTATTTATTTATTTATTTATTAGGTAATATAAAATGTTATAATAATTAATATATTTTATTTGAATGCTGCGTGAAATTATCGAGCATATTATTGTCATATTAAATTATTTCCTTAGCTTTTTTGTTAATGTTTAATGTATACTCTATATTATTTATGAAAAATCGGTAAGATAATAGGCAATAGATCGGTAATAAAAATTTTTTTTTGAAATTTTGCATGGTAAATTATTCTTACAAACCCTTATTTGTCCTCCATTAGGAAGTGGTGTTAGGGGAGGTTTCACTGTAATAATTATGATGTAAAAATATTAACACGAACACACCGAGCAGAATTGTGGTTGGTCGAGAATCGAAATAACACGTTTGATCAAGAATACAGTATACTTGCAATTGTATACTATACGTCAGCTGTTGTTGACACCTCAAGTTCGTATAGAACGATTGGTTTCGATGGTTTGGTTTAACTAATTTAAATACACGATTGGTATCGGAAAAGTTGTTTTTATTAGTATATAATCGAAGACAATAACAAGATGTAATTTAACCGATGGGACTCGAACGGGTGGTATAAGACAATACAATGCCAGAATTACTCCGACTATTGCATTACGGATTGAAGATATACCACACGTCGAGTCCGGGAGCGAGACTACCTTTCGAGCCGTGCAAGTCTGCCTGGGTAGGTCTTGCTCCGGTGCCGAAAAGGCAGTGAATGATATCGGTTGACCGGTGCTTGGGCCTTTTATACCCATCGCGAGGCGGCCACGGCGTACTCTTATGCGATAGATAAGACAGTCGTGGCGACCGGGCAATCGATAAGATAACAAATTTTAATGAGGTTTGATTAATATTTGGGTTTAACGGATAATGATACATAGAGAATGCGATAAATATAATATATTCGTGGAAATAACTGTGTTATGCAGCTGTTTTCCAACGACGAATTCAGGCAAACGTATTTTTGTATAAATTCAGCAATACAAACTAAGCCTAATAAACCTCACAACCAAACCACCCCATCGCCTTGCTGTCTTCCATCTCAAAAATCTATGAAAGGATAATCCTAGAAAACATCCAAAAAACCATTTCTAATCAATTTAAAATGGAACATATTTACATATTATACAAATAAACTGCTACCAGTTATTGTTATTTGTACACTGTACGGTGAAACTATATTGTGCAATTGCTCTATCCATTATTGCATTATTATTAAGATGTTCACAATCCTAGATTTTGTGCGGCGTTCCGTATAGGCAATATAGGTACGTCTCTGCGTAGAAGAGCGTTTAAAAAAAAATATATATATAACTTTCGGTCAACGCACATACTTATAATAATAATAATAATAATATAATACTGCCTACACAGAGACCTAAAACATACACTTGCATTTTGCATATTATTTTATACAATATATATATTATTCTGTGATATTGAATTGGGTCCATGCTTCTTTTATGTGTTTGTCGTTTGAATTGAGTCCGTATAGATAAAATATCAAATCATTTAAACGACAATGACGTTTAGCAGAAGATTTAATGGTAATAAAACCATATACCTAACGATTAAATTATGGACGGTCTTACAGATTACGTTTTAAATAACTACTTTGACGATGATGCTGCACAGTTTCCCGTCAAAGTTTGGTGTGATTTTACAGCAATCACTACTCGGACCACTAACAGTTGTGACTTGTGAATGTTTTCAAGCGAAATTAAAAGCGCTTTTTCAGTCGGGTCATCAAAATATTTTCATTCTGTTGGCACTCTTCTTCTCAGTTCGATTCATACATACAATTACGGAGCACAGCAACGAAACGATGTAAAAATACATTGGAACAAGAACAATTTTTACGGGGGCATACAAAAAAATATATAAATAAACGAATTTGCATATTTGACTTTTTAAAATCCTGTATCATTTAAATTTTTACCATCAACTATTTAATTAGTTACATTATAATATTGACTTTTTATATTTATTATTATTACGATTAAAAAAAAGAAGTGTAAACAATCTCATAATCACACGCATTTTTGGATGACTACTCAGCCAACCTCCTCGTGGTGTCTCCTGGATGACGCTAACATGCTGAAGGGACTCAGCTATAGTAATAACCAATAAGTTGAATTATGATCATAACAGCTTCTGTACAGTAGTTCTATTATTATAATTTATGGTTCGTTTATGCCATGCAGGGATGACTAACCTGTATCAGCGTGTTAAATAAAGTATTGAGATTGATTACGTCATATTTTAGACTTCAAGTCGTTAAAAAATTAATAAATGAGAAAAAAACACACCATACATATATAATTATATACCTCTATCTGGCGCTTTTAAAAGAGCAGAATAACTATGATATCTCTTAGCTGAACGTAATGATAATAAAATACAATCGTAAGATACATAAAATCACAACCTAAAATCAATTTATCAGACTCACCTCACCAGATAATTACGTTTGTGCAATTGAAAAGTGTCCTAAGTTCTCCATCACTTGTATACTTCTATAAAATATTATTATTAAAGTTTATAATTTGTCATTAAACGTTTGTTGAATGAGGACGGGCGCACTGATTTCGATACGATTTTTTCTGTCGTCACACGCAGTGACTCTTGAGGCAATTTTTCAAGATGCAATTTATTCTACCCCTCCTAAAACCTATATATATATATATAAACATGTTGGATGATATTTTTATTTTGTTTTCAGTTCAATTATACAAATAAATCCGATTATTAACGACGTAGAATAAATTAATTTGTATTCAAACCTAGTATTACACAAAAACAATTTAATCAATATTATAATTTTGCTCGATCACATTGTATCATATTTTTATACACGAACATAGTCAAACTAATTAGTTTTGCATCATCTATACATAGCCGTGAAATTGCTTACCGCTAAAATGAGTTTGAATCAACGTAGAAGACTCACGACTAAATTTATTAACAAAATATTATTTATGAAATTACGGTCGATAAGGGAATCACCTGGGATCGTTAGACTGTCGCCGTACGCATAGTACGTTTGGTAAAAGGAGGCCAAAGTATTATCAAATCTAGGTGGGCAAGTTAATGCAAATAATTAACTCAAGTTAATAGTTATGTAAAATTAAGTGAACACAAGATTGTTAAGTTGTAAGTTAATAGTTAAAATATAATAAATTTAACTAGCTTCGTTTAAATAAAACATATTATGGAAAATATTATTAACTAACTCTTACTAACTGTTTTAATTAGTACGTGGATCACATAAATAGTAATTTAGCACATCTATACAACGTTATTTTATTTAGAAACATAATAAGAATGAGAGTTATAATTTATAGAATTAGATTATTTTTAATTTAAATAGTGTATGATATCTATATAATACCTATAGTTAATGTATTTAACTGTTAAAACCAAAAAAATAAAAACATTTAAAATTTTAATTGCGTGGATTGCTATTTATTTTTAAATAAACTATGAAAAGCCATGTTATTTGGACAGTGGATCAAAACTATAGTTAATTTCTATACAGCTAATTAGAACATTATCTAATTATCTAAGTAAAAAAGGTTTAGAAAAAAGTTAACTTTTCAAAAAGTTTAACTGCAGGTTATAAAATGGTAAGTACGTGCACGTCCTCTGATAAGAACATTGCAGACCAAGATTACGGAGAGAAATTGGAATACAAAACAGAACAACGGGTAGAAAAATAGGCGATAACGATTTATTATGTACACATGTGCGAAGTGAAATAAAAAATAAAATAATATAACAAGGGTTTCTTTCACAAGTCTTATTTAAATATTCTGTACACAAAAAAAAATATATAATAATAAATAAAAATATAAGGGAAAAATAATAATAATATATATAATAAAATCAAAAATTTCACACACATACACACACACAAACACACACACACACACATTGTAACGGGAAAACGAAATGAGAAAGTCTCGTTCTCGTGTGGAAATAAAAATAAAGTAAAGATACTATAATTTGTATTATTATTATTATTATTATTATTATAATTATTGTCGTTGTAACGTGGGTAGGTATTTAAAAAAATATTATGTAATATTATTTGCGTAATACACGGACGACTTGGGGTGGTAGAATGGAGAGTAAAGGGAATCGATAATAGTATAAAGTTTTTGAAAAAAAAAAATATAATAATAATAAAAATAGTAGTTTAATAATAGCGATGAAATAAAACAACGAAATAAAAAACTACTCGACACCGCAGTGGAAAATTGATTGATGAATTACAAAATTATTATGTTATCGCACGCACAGTATAACTATTATATTATATTATAATATATACACACTTCATATACGTTTGGGATTAAAAATGTACGTTTAAATAATTAATATTTATCATTTGAGAATCACACGTAGTAGTCCCATCATCGTACACGTATTTGAATATAATAATTATTATTTTATACTATCGGATTTCCACACAAACACACATTACCATAATATTATTATACTATTATAATATTTAATAATATACTATGTGTATAATATAGTATTATAATATGCATATAAAACACACCGCGATGATGTATAATTATATAATATTTATAGTTTATCGTCTATTATAGATCATTGTTTTAATACTGATGGCAAATCCTCTGAAGCGCCAAATATGATTCGGGGTGGGCGGGTGAAATAAATTATGAATTAAAACTCGTCGCAATCGAAACGATTCCCGCAGTAGGTACGGAAAACGTCGGAATTTGGTTTGTCATCGAACATCGAAAGTGTTTTAAAAAAATGATTTTTGGTTTTTTTGCGCCAGGCATGGTATCACAAATTGTCGACGGAGTGGCCACGCGATTCAGAAGACTGGCGAGTGGGTCGCGGGAGTCGGGGTTCTGGCGCGGGTCGACGGCGTTCAGGCGACTTCGGACGGGGCCGTGACTTCGATGAGCGTGACGGGAAACGAGTTCATCTCGGTGAATATGTCCAACAGGTTGTTGATGCCGATCAGGTACCCATCCTCGTGGTTGCCCACCACCCACTCGGACGTGTGGTTGATCCGGATGTCCGGCGGAAGTATGAGCGTCTTCGCGAAGTCGATAAGCCATATGTTGGCGTTCTTGCTGTCGTGCACGAACAGCAGCGAGCTGCCGATGACCTGTGGACACGAATTATCGAACTAATAATAACAACGCACAATGCTTGACATAATGTTATTGTGACTATTATGTTACATGACACCTCCATGTATATTGTTATAATAATGTATCCTACATTAAAAACTCGACACGATTAACTGCAAGGCCTACAGGAGGTCTACTTGCTATAGCATTACAGCAGATACATTGGTTTTTTTCTAGGAAATATTTAGGTGCAAATTCTAAAGTCAGTATAACAGAAACAGTAAAAATAATCAGTAGTAAAATTAATGGTAGAAAAAATTCAGATATATTGGAAGTGAAGTATCGGGATAGTAACCCTTATACTTTATCGTTGGTAAAAGATTAAAATCAACTTTTGCTCACGGTCATGGATGGATTACTTTTATATGTACGAACTATTGTAAAGTTGTAACCGATAAAAATTGTGGAAAACGCGATTTCACGGGGCCCCTTAACGCCGTGAAGTAGGCAAGCAATATGGCACCACGATATCTCATGAGTTTTGACGAGTCGATTTTTGATGTTCATGTTTGTTTTAACGTTAAACGTGTTTTATCTTTTTTATTTTTTATGTTCGTCTTGTCGGAAGGTTATAATTTTGTAAACAGTATCGACAAATTTTTTTCCGAGACGACTACACAATAATATGATTTAACTCTTATGCTATTTAAAAATAAAACGCCGTTTAGTGTGCAGACGGAGGACACGAAACGTCACGTCGTTCGCCACAAGTAAGTTGGTTTATGTTAGATTCTTTTAAAAAAAATGAGTTTTACGGAATTTCCGCAACGTAATTATCGTGCCAAACGTTGTCGTTGAATGTGTTTGCGGTACTGAAAAATAATGTAGATTACAATTTGTTTTCGTATATTATGTTAAAAAAAAAACTGATAGAACGGTCCAACGAAAACGCATATTTTATAAATACTATTATTTCTCGTGTTATTATTGTTAATGAGATAGTATACCGGCGGTAGGCATTATTATTATACTTTCACCGGCGACCATAACAAATATTATAATGTACACGTCACAATCGCTTAAACGTACGATTCACGGGCATACCAGCTGTATATACCGCGTGTACCGATTTACTATAATATACGAGTAATAATTAATAATAATATAACAGTGCAGTCTCGTGGATGATTTAATTCAGATAATTTTCCTAACACAATGATGTTGAGGATTTCACCTCTCCCTAACAACGATTGGTGCAGCCATAGGGAGATATTGGGAGCTGAGCCCTCCCCCAAATATACATTGGATAGTGTACCTATAACTCACTAAAAATGTTTTCTGCAAAGAGCAAAAAATTGTTTAAGGACGAGTACGAAGTCACAAGATTTTTAAAATGTGTTAATTATGCAAAATTAAAACCTGATACGTTACAGCCTCTCTAAAAAATTGGTCCTGTCGTTGCACCTATGCCGGACCTTCCAACATCAAGCATTATTGTTATACAGAAATAAAATTGATAACAACAATAATCATTTGAAATTTGAATACTGATTAGCCGATGAACGAAAATATTATAAAATTATCGAAAAACGCTTACAACATTCATACTATTCATAGTATAAATTAACATATCATTATCACTACTTTGGCGGTAGCGGCAAAGTGTAGCCGGATATTTAGTTATATCATGGAGGTACTGCCAAGACAATAGAATTTACCGCCACCTCTTCACCTTTTTGGTTTATTTACTATCTACAATAAACGCAACCATCATGCTTGTAAATAAAATTATGAACTGTGGCAACAATGCATTTAGCATAATATTATGCGAACGTGAGTACAATTTGGTTCCCCGTCTTGTTCAAATTACACCAAACGAGTTTTAATTAAAAAGCTCAATTTCGAAATAAATGAAGGTTGGTTTTAGGAATTCGTAAGCATTTTTAGCAGCTAATTTGTGGAAAATAGTAGTGTGACGCTATTCACTCCATTGGGTTTATTTCGGTCACAATATTTAGCTACAAGAAAATTACAAATTGGGGCTATAGTTTTCAATTTATTTGATTTTGGACTCCCAAGATTGTATTTGAATACATGAATTATGAACACCAATACTTTTACTCAATACTTAACTAGACTGATATCAGGTTCTGGAGTGGACTGTGAGCACGTTAATGAACTTCATAGGTATGCTTTGAAGTGATAATTCGTATTTTATTACTTTAAGGTCACCTAGGTAATTGTTGTCAATAACTTAGAGTGCACTTAACATAACGCACTAGTGTACAGTATAGAAAAGCAAATTAAAACAACCCGTTTTATACGACATTCGATGTGGATGATCCAACACTGGTCCCCACCCAAGTGAACTACGCAATTAATAAGAGTTCGAGACAACTACGCAACAAATATCTATAAGTCTACTTTGAGTTGGGAACCGGATTGAAGACACGTTTCCGGAAAATTCGTAAATATTCGCCATGGCGACTCAAAGACTGCTTGCGTTTTCATTATTTGTACGATGAATTCATAGAGATTGTTGTGAAATAGTAAATACGATAACTAAAGTGGATTTTTGCGTCTCTAAAAAATATCTGTAAAAAATACTTTTTCTTGTAGTTTACTTAAGTATTTGAGACCAATTGTGAATACTATTACCTTTTTATCTATCATTATATTTTTAAATATAAAATGTGCTTATTAATTAATTATTTAAAAACTTTAAGTTTCAGTAACGCTTTGTTTGAGGGTTTTAACAACTAGATTTAAATAATTTACGTAATAGCAGTGAATAATAATTATTAATTCTAGTATTACGTATAATATGTGGAGTATATTTTATTGATTAAAGTTTTATTGTTTAAGATAAATTAGCCTGTACCTATTTTTGTGTCAATTGTATCATATAAAATAATGTTTCATTCTTTAAAACCCTTTGTTTGTTCAAAACACGTATGAGTCATATTAGCAGTGATATATTTTTTAAATTAATGGCTGTGATCGTATATTTTTATAACGATTCCAAATTTTAAATTAAAAGTAAGAAAAAATGTATTTGAAGGAAAGTGTTCATCACAGTCGAATAGTATTTAAAATTTACTCAAGCACTTGTTCAATACTCGAAAAAATTATTTGAATAGATACCAATTCTCAGATAATATTATAGCACAACACCGAGTAGGTGAATGTACGGATTTCGTGACAAACCTCGTGCGTGGTGAAAAACTTGGACTCCACCAGCATGTCTCTGATCGCTCTCAGTCGGCTGATGTACTTGGGCTGCAAAACACGATGTGCGCGAAAAGCGCAGTCATTAAAGATAACATTGAATTTAGTGTGTAGGGTATAATATAGAAGGTATATTAATATAGGTACAACTCACGATTACGTGCGGTAAACCTGCGACAAAATCTCGAAACGCTTCGATCACCTGGTCCCGGTTCTTTGTCGTCTTGAAGTCCTTGCTCGATTTTCCGTCGCTTTTCTTGATCCCCTCGATCCGGAAACCCAACGTGGCAGTCGACGAAATCGTCTCCCTCCAAACCATGTACCTATGGGTGGAAACGGGATTCATGATAAAAACTATCTATAGTAATACGTATTCATATCGATGCTGTACCGCTACACAAAAAGGTGGTCATATGTTGAGGACGTCGCCAAAATATTATAAACCATATATCATAACATTCTGAGCTCAGATTTTTGTTCAGCCTATTTGAGCACGAATAACATTTTTATTTTTAAATCATTACCAAGTTACTTGTGAAGGAAATAATATTATTATATTAAGTCATTTTCTTCAATCATTTCTATATTATAATATGTGTATTGTATATATTTTATTATCACGACGTGATAGTCATTACCACGAAAGTGTTGACGTGTTTTGTTCTCTCATTAAATACTTGTGAAAAAACGTCAAACAGAGATGCAATGAGAGTTGAAATGCTTTGTACTATTTTTTGTTCTATTTTAGGAATGTCCTGTGGTGATGCAATATTATTATTTTTTAAATGAGAACCAGTGCTAGTACTGTAGTTTACACTACTTAAATTATTAATGATTTTTTGAAAATATTGATGTATCTAAATCTAAATTTCAATGAACAGTATGAGCTATAAAAAAGGACTTTTATTCTATGTCTTACAAAATATCTTTATAATAGACCTCAAAAAATATTTTGGAATACTGCAAGACAATTATAATGATTCAACATATAATATTTATTATACTAGATTAGTTTTGAAAAATTATAAAATGTTAAAAGATCAATATAATTTATTATAATATTCAAATCATCATTGTCCACATATATCCTAAACCTACAACGGTGAACTATAATAATATTCTTAGTACACTAAGTCAAAAAGTCAAAAACTACTCCTCCGACTTCGTAATTATAGACACATCAAAGTGTTTAGAAAACAGAGTGATTCTCATTTGGAAAAAAAAAGTTGGCATTGTCACAGTACACTTCTCAACCGGCATAAGAAATCTGAGCATTAGAAATTATTTCATAAATGTATAACATATTCATATTATATACCTCACACCAATTAAGTTGACTTGAAAATTTCAAAAATCAGAACTTGAACCAAACAATTCATTATTTAAAAAAAATTTCGGATGAACAGGTTCGATAGTGAATCACTCTGAAAAGCTATTACCTATGTATAGGTATACCACTCGTGGTCACCGTGTCGGTTATTGTTATTTACCTAACCTAACCTACCCATGTATCGGTGGATATAGATATGTTCGGTGTTTTCATCGTCGTACACAACATAATATTAAAGGTACCTACGTAAGAAAATACACGATATATTAACATAATTACAGGATACCGATGTATGAATATTTTATTTACGCGCGTTTGAAGGCGTACTACACCTATATGGTTAGACACCCACGTACACGGGTTTGCGTCGTCGCGGCGCCGAGAGAGACGAGCTATATAAAAGCGGCAGGAAGACGCCCGGAAACGGAATATTCGTATCCGGAATTTCGGATGATAGTACAAAACATATATCTATACATTATTAAAATATGCAATACAATCGTTCGCGCGGTCTTTTTCGAGCAATAATAACACGTTAGATAGGCATAATCGTGACCTATAAGACTTTGAGCGAACGACCCAATTATTTACGTACACGATAACTCAGCGGCAATAGTCTAATGTCTATAACATAATATTATTCACGTAGTCAAATAAAACACTACACGTACAACGAAGTTCGCGTTGTTGTTGTTTATTGTAAGAGTAAAGAGCGCCGCAATAAAATATATTTTTACACACGATGCGTATACGTCGCATTAAAATATTACATTATATTATTAAGTATTTTATGGTATATTATCATGCCGCACTTAATATAATATAATATCTTGTAGGGAAATATATATTAATATCATAAATATCATATTTATAATATTTATAACTTTATAACGAAAAAATATCATTGAGATAACGAAGAACAAAAAATTCTAGCACCTACCATTAAACAAAATACATCAATAACCATGAATTTTAAGATTAGTTAACGTATAATATTATGTAAGGTAAACAAATAGTTACATTAAAAGAAAAACTTTGCAGTGATTTTTTGTTTGATTTATGACAATACCTATGACATTTATTATTATTCCAATTCAATTGTATTCATTTTTTAACCTTATGACAATGAACCATCAAACTATCAAAGTTGGATATCTATACAATAGTTAATATTTTCCGAACTATTTAATTGTATATTTAATTTTAGTTATAATAAAAATTTAAAACGTATTAATTAGTATACAATATATTTCTGTTATTCAACTAACTCTCATGTTTATATTCAATGTCATGGTTATTGGTTGTTTACAATTTTGATTTTTGTTGTAACGTGCTTAACTTAAAACTTAAAATTAAATTTAAAAAAACGTTTAAAATATAATACCCAGAGTTAAACGACGATAAAATAAAATTAACAATAACGTTAAACATTAAAATTGTAATCACACAGTTTTAACGTCCAAATTGCCAAATGGAACATAAAAACGATAGGTACTTGTTATTTTTAAATTTAAACACCGATTATTACAATACATAATATATTGTAATACTTGATACCTACTACGCGATCGAATACTTCATAATTTTTTTTTTGCTCTTAGCCCCATCAACACACGCATCGTTCGTATGGAAGAGGTACCTACGTCTAATTAATTATTACACACTATATAAAAATAATATTATACACGACGGCTACAACAACACGTATTCGTACAAATAAGGAGAGATAAAAGATCGATTGTAATAATAACGATAATAATAATACGTTACGCGTGTATAATATAAGAGGTATACATCAAACGTAATTTCATATTAATGTACGTTTGCGGTGCGACGTCTTTATAATATCACGTGATGAATAAACGCTAGCACTCGAATCGCATATTATACAGAGTGATTCGCACCTGAGAAACACTCGCCCTCGAGTTGTTCAGTCAGTAGTTGATTTTATGTTCAAATTCTGATTTTTAGAATTCGTAAGTATACACTCAATATACCTTTAATTTCAAATACTTCTATATCCACATAGATTTCGTATTTAATATAGTGTATAATACTATAGTGAAACCAGCTATCCACTTCTTCATACGACAATAACATTTATTTTCTTGTAAATATTGTTGAGTGAATAATTTTTCGAAAATGTTGATGCATTAAAATCGATATTAGAAAAAGTAGTTATTGAGTTACTTATCTTTGTGTACTAAGTATAAGATGTCCACGATAATAGATTTAGAAGATATGGAGGCATGATGATGAATTCAGAATTATAGTAGCAGATGACTAATATTAATCTATCAACATTTTATATTTTGCATAATTCTTGTCTAAGTAAAATACGTGCTAGATTAAATATAACATGTTTAAAACTTTATACTTTTGAAAAAACATTTTTAAGGATTATTATCCTAAGGTACCTACTATATTTACATCCTAATAATGCCAAATTTCCGAAACTACTGATTCGAATTTTTATATTGATACTAATACATAATCACAGTTTCATAATTTCCACAAAATGTGGTAGATTCTTATTTGATGAAAAAAAATGTGCATCATCAAAAGACACTCTTTAAATGGTGTAAGAAGTCTAAGTATATGAAAGCGAAAACAAGGTCCTTGAATATATATTATAATTCCAAAATTCAGAATTCACAATTTGATTGAATCCATTATTAAATGAAAAGAAAATAACATGTAGTAAGTCACCCTGTACACTATTCAATTTGAAACAGTTGTTGACGGAGAAAAAAACACGCAATATTATTATTTTATTATATTATTGTGTTTCGCATTCGAAACGCCGTCGCACCTGAGCAGTTGTAGTTTGTTATCCTTGTCGCTCTTGATCACACTCATACTTATATATATATATGCTATGTTGTATAACGTCACTTCGAAAACAAGTTTACGCGGATCGATGATTAATCAAAACGGTTATATTGTTAGTATTGAACCTTTTTTATTTTTATTTTATTTTAGTAGTTTTTATGGAATAATTTCACCCCAACAATACCTTTACTTTATTTCATAAAATATTATGTAACGGGATATTGTGCAAAATCACTCCCAGGCGTTGGGTTTGATATTTGACCTTTTTTGTTTTTAAAAATTTAACTTGGAATTATTTATATGTTTCTATTATACACATTATTTTTTTTTTCATTAATTCATATTAAATTTTTTCATTATAATATGAAAAGAAGGATATGCATAATTTATGTAAGAGACGATATGTGACGTAAAAACGACTGACAGTTGAGATTTTTAATAATAAAATTGATCATACAGTGGTCAGTTAGATTTATAGATTTATATTGAAACAGTATTTTGAGCGGAAACGGAAATCTTTGGAGGAAAAATAATATTAATAGACAGCAACTGAAATAAATTTCATTTTTTTTTAATAGAAAAGTTGCGAATCCTTCGCCTTAAACATATGACAAATCTCATATAGGTAGTAGGTACTATTTGGCTTCCAATAAAATATATAGTTTAGTCTCATGCCAAGTTATAATATACAATCAAGTACAATAAAAATAAATAAAATATTCGACAGCCGATATAAGTCTAATGGTAGTACTATTTTTTGAATTACTATTTAAAATTTGTGAAATATGTAAGTTCAAAGTAAAACGCTCAAGAGAAAAATTGTATTTTTCGATCGATTTTGCTACTTGTTTTATTTTAATGGTTTTGGTCGATTTGTGTATGGTAGATGACTAGCCGGGTAGTATCTAGGTAGACGACACGAGGTTATGATTTCCGTAATTCAGTAACCACGTGCGTAAATACCACACGCGTAAACTTGGGATAATAATATTATGAACGATTTTTTTATGTCGACAAAACCCGTCTCGAACCGACACCGACGAGAAAGAATTTGTTCGTTTTCGTGATCGGTATTTTTCATCTGACATATTGAATTCGAAAGATAATTTGTTCTGGTTTATCGCGAACGTGATTAAATAGGAACTCACAAAACGAAGACGAAATACATAATATTTTTTAATCATATTATTACAAGCAGGCTTATTATTTAATCGTCGCTGCACATAATATAATCACATCAATAATATCTACATTATATGGTGTGCCATTATAAAGTTGTAAAAAATTCGATTAAACAGCGGCTTCGGGTTAACATATATATATACTTGCCTAATATTGTATATTATTATTAATCGAATATATTTATTCGCCGATAATGATATACACACGTAACGTACGGTCATTTCTTATACCAAATGATGGTTACGTAATACACGTTAGAAATTGGAAATATCACTGGACAACGCTGCTATAAGTTCTATTAGGATACATCTGGGTAATATAATAATACAAATATGCTAATTGATACTCATTTAACCGGAAACATTCGTTTTTCATTTAAATTTGTTGTGTTTTTAAAAGACGTTTTAATAATATAATTTTAACGATACCTAATTATAATGCCAAATTTTTACAAGATCATCCAATTTTATCGCCATTTATTATCATTATAATCATTTTTTGGGTTTTGACACACAATGCTTTTTTCACAATTGGAGCACATTAAAATTTTTAGTTGTATTCTTATTTAAAAAATTAATTTAACATCAACGTTAAAAAGAAATAGATATTCTCTTTAAAACTTTAAAGAAAAATGTATATATTGCCAATTATGGTTTTAGAGACCTATACACCACGTGTGCTGGAAGACTGCGCTGCGGTCTTCGACAGAATATATACTTATTTATAATATTAGATGTCGTGTAGTTTTGGAAAAAAATGCAAAAAAACTCTCGGGTTATTAAGACATATATTATGTGCTTAATTTTATTACGGCAATAATTCAATATAATATATATAATATATATATATTATTATGTTACAATATGTACACCACATAGCAGAGAGTGGCGCGCGCGTAATTATAATATACGTGCGAGCGAGCAATTGAAACGAATATTATTATTATCATTATTATTATATATCGTACTATCATTATAATTGTGTACGACGCGTTTTTCTCGATCAAAGAAAGGCGTTAGAAATCATTCTTCTCGGCGACGGCGCAACCGGCCTCGTATATTATATATTATAATATTATATATTATTATATTATACTCAAACTCGTTCGGCTACTATAAATTACGATATAATTATGACCACATATTATTATGAGACTCGCAAATCTCTAGAGTTTTCGTGTGTGCGTGTTTGTGTGTGTGTGTGTGTGTGTTTGAGAGAAGTGCATATTTTGCGCACACACGCGAAACATATAGGTATATTACAATAAATCTAGTCTACCGTAACGATATAGTTCACTACTCACTATATTTAAATATATAGGTAGGAATTAATTATTGTTATTATTTTATTTATGACACGCAAAAACGATTAGTGAAAAAAAATTGTAAATTTTTCAATACTTTGCTTACCTCGGTTTTGTCACACCCTTCAGTCGGTGTTCCTCTTCCGACGGTGCGTTCGGGTCGATTTGAATCATTTTCTCGTACATGTCCTAAACACAAGCGTAAACACAAATTTTTAGTAATAATAATGTGTTATATTAACTAATATAATCGATAAAATATATAGTTTATAAATTACTCGTAAATAGAGTAATTATATTATTAAAAAATACTCGTTATTTCAAAAACAAAATATTATAATAAACATAATATTTTAAGTCTGTTAATTTTTTTTTTTATCATTCTTATTTTTCAAGTTTTTTACTTTTTTTATGACACTATACATTTTGAATTCCTTATTCCAAATCAGAATAGGTTTTCGCAGTACTTCGCGGTACATAAAAATCGATTTTATGGGTATTAGAAGTATTTAATGACTACTCTTCTGAAATACGATTTCTATACATTGAAATACTCTGAATAATTCTTTGTTTCAGAACATAAAATCAAAAATGTTAAGTCATTAAAAAAGTAAAGGAGTTGAAAAAATTGATTACGATAAAAAATAATGGAAGTAAAATTTGTTCACGAAAATATCGTTTTGGAACAACCTAAAATTGTATAAAAAATATTTTTAATAACGTTGTTTTAGTTATTGAAACATTTGAAACAATAAGTGTTCTTTGATAATATAAAAATCATTAGTTGCAGTTATATTATAATGATATTGCTTGAAGGGCTTGTACTCACTTTTCTCAATTTGGGTTTTTCTTTGGCTTTAGCCAGTTCCTCTTCCAGATACGTCCTGACGCCGATCTTGCAGTCCATGACGCACGGTGAAGTGAAGTCACCCAACAAGTCTTCTAGCTGAAGATATACTGTGGGTTGGGAGTCACGGAAAAAATACATCACTCACATAATATCATCATCGTATATTCGTATCGTTGTATATTGTGATACATAGAGGTTCGTAAATCGCTGGTATCATCATAGTAGCTATATATCGTTATATAGATAGGCAATTGCCGCACACATTTCGCCAGCCCCCCCCCTCACGTTCATATATTATTATAGAGAGCGAATTGTGTAGTTTATACGACGGTTTAAGATTGACCACTGAGGTCGATCGTCGATGCACAGTATTCGATATACGTGAAGTTCACACCCCGACTTTGTTCGATCAGATCCAGCACATAACAAAACTGGCTCCAAGCAGGTGTCATTTTTTTGCAACGTTGATAAAAAAAATTGAAAAATATGTTTTTTACTGCGTTGTGGACTAAGATTGGGGTGCCAACTTCAGGTGCGTCGTCTAATAAGGCTTACACGTTGTAATAATATATAGGATCGTCATTATTATAGTATTATCATATATATGCGTACGTACACGGAACACCCACATTCGTGATGTGTATTCCGATACTCTCCGAACTTTGGATTTCGTCGTCGTCACCGCTGCGCGTATAACGCATGCAAATGAGTGTTCTCCGACCACGCGAAAACGCATCATATCCAATTACACATTTGCATTATACTATCATTATTATTTTATATTACTACCTCTGTCACAAACCGGGTGGTGCAATCAAAAATTAATTTTTATGTTTTTTAGCGAACTCGTAGGTATACACATCTCGTGTTTCTATACACATCTATAGTTAATATTTGAAGTATTTGAACACGATGTCAAATTACCTATAGATTGTATTATAAATCGGTTTTAACTTTTTAAGACATACAACTCCATAGGTATACCTATTATTCGACTATATAGTATAATATATTATGACAATGTTTTTCACCAAGCTTGCTCTCACTCCCTTTTTATTTATCAATAATGTAGTTATTTAGGATCTGACTTTTTGAATTTTTAAATATACTAAAATTTTTAAATTCTTGATATTTTTTGTATTACACGGGGAGTTTTTTGTGGACATGCAAACTTCTTTTATTTAAACGAAACCTCTCATTTGACATAATTTAGCGGATAATTTTTCTGAGAATGTTGACGTATCAAAATCAAAATTCGAAAAAGTAGTTTTTGAGTTATTTAAATTTGTGAACTAAGGCTAATATAGATCCAGGATAATAGGTTTGGGAGATTTGATGGCAAATAGAGGTAATAGGGAAATCTTGCTAATTTATATCAATCCATGATCTATCAATATATTTTATAATTTTTGAAATTAGACCAATTATATAATAATAAATACAAACCGATTTATATTTGTAATACATTTTTTATTAGAACATGTCTAATAAAATAAAAAAAGGTATTGGCTATAATACAATTTGTTATGATTTATTCCATTTAATGCATATATTTCCTAGGTGCTCAATTTTTATTAAGTGAACTAAATACGTCGTTTTACATACCTATTTAAAATTATACTTTTATTATTTTTTAAGCCTGGTGGCTATAAGTATGTATACATATATATTATATATATATTATATACGTTTAATAATTTTACACTGTATATAAAATTGTAAATATTATCAACATATTTACTATACTTTAAACTTGCAAATATATATTTACAGTTATTATTATGGGTGTTTTGTAATCAATTTTAATTTAAAAAGTTAAATTTTCAATTGTGTATGCTTGAGGCATAAAGATAATGAAAATTCGAGGATGGAATAAGTTATATGCTGTCAAATATAGCATATATACATAATATTTATAAATATATTGCTGCAGGTAAATTTTTAACTATTTACAAAGTAGTTAGTATCATTATTCATATTTTTAATCGATTATATGGATACAGTGGCCACAGTGGCTATAATTATTAACCATAGCTGTAGCTATGCAACGCAGAAGAAACGAGAACACATGTTTGTTTATTACTTAAAAATTATAAAAATGTGTGAATGTTTTGTTAAAAAAAAATACTCAAAAGTTATAAATAACTGACATTTTCATTATTTTGTTTCTTAACAACTTTGATTTGCCCACACTTTGTGCGTGAGATAATAATGACTGATTCTGAGCTCAATATAAGGATGACAAATGATTATAACAACCATATATTTTGATCGTTTGTCACCCAGATTGTCGATACTATATATCAGTGGTGACCAAGTACAGCCCTCTGGCCAAATTTGGCCCATGATCATTTATTCACTGGCCCGTCAAAGTATTAACATTAAATCAAAATTTAAAAAGTGAATCGAAATAAACTGTCGAGGCCGCATCGAGCGTTGAATATAATATAGAAGTCATTATACAGAGTATTTAAAATAATATTTTAACGAAAAAATTAAAAATTGGTAAAAACAATTCTAGACGACGACAAAATAATAACAATAATATTAATATAATATGTTGATATTATGTTGCCGGTTGCAAGTAGGAATCTATATCGCGTATACTGCAGTATATTTGTAAAAAAGTAAGCTTTTTTCGGAAAACTATTATTTAAGATTCTGAGAAGTCACGTACATAACGTCAAAAAGTGAGAAGACGCGTACATATAACGTAGTGTACTATTTTATATTTTCTCCGCTGTTCGGAAAAACAATACATCATTTATATGTTTACGTTAGAGGTAGACTTTTGGCTTTCATAATTTGAAGTCATAACATTACAAACTGCATTCAGTTTAATCTATTAATATGATTTCTAAAGTCTCAAGCATAAACAAACTTCAAATGTGTGTGAAATTTAATCCTGATAGGCATGATTTTCAAAACAAATTATCAACGAGGCCTTTGTGATAACGTAATTATAATTATTATTATTATGCATAGTATGAAAGTATATTTCTTTCAGATAAATCAAATTGATGACGAAAATAATCAAAGTATGTCAATTTTGAATACTGATAAACTGTTAAACGAAAATGATGAAATAAGTGTCGAAAACTGTCTATAACATATTTTGCCGTATAATGAGTATAAACTAATAAAAATATATAGTTAATACCATCATTACTGCTACTTTTAAGGCTCACGCACATACTTGGGATGTTAAATTAGGTTTGGTTGATTAAATCATAGTTCAAAAACGAAATTAAATATTGATAGAAATTTTCTAAGAAATCAAAATTGACTTTTCTATGATACCTATTCAAAATTTATATTGAAATTAAAAATTATTTATTTATCAAATTGATTTTGATTTTTTCATAAATTTATAAATATTTATTTAAAAATACTATTCACTTATTAATATAATTTATAATATTTTTTTTTACAAATCTATATATTATTAAAAAAATATTATATTCAAGTTAAAATTTTAACAATAACTAACATGTCTATTCTCAAATATCTGCAATATAGATCATTTGCAGGTAATAACTAATATGTATAATGACTAATCTTTTTAATCGAATCAGCAAATAGTTTCAATTAATATATTGTATTAAATGGAAATCAGAATAAAACTAATATCGATAAGCGCAATTAAAATTAAAATTGTAATTCAAAATTTAATTTCGATTTTAACCCCAGAATTGTTAGACAGACACAATTGACTGCTACCATGGCAACATCCGACTTGTTTCTAATTTTGTAACAAGAGAAATTTGAAGAAAAATCTGTCTTTTATGTGTCTATACCCTCCTTAAAAGTTTCACTTCAAATCACACGGCTGGCATCATCGTCGGCACAATAGTACCTAATACTTAAACCACGGTAGTTGTATAGTAGATATGTGTTACGTATAGGGACTACAGCCTATGGGTACATGGAGTTTTTTTTCATCGATTCACCATAGCAGTTGGCTAATTGAGTTTGATTTAGATGTTTCAGTAATTGTACGGAATCGTTCGGAATTATTTAAACTCACATTAGTATGATCATATTTCGCGTCGATGCATATCTAACTTTTACAGCGGTGAAAAATAACCGAAACACATTGATTTCAGGCTTAAAAGCAGTATTTTATTCCGTGAAAAACATTCTACTCCTAATTATTGTGGGATAAAAATGTATCAGTATTGCCGTTAGAAAGAAGAACAAATTCATAATTAGTGAGAAAATGTAAAAAAAATTGCTTAACATTTGGTTGGAGACACTCACAACAGTGCAGAAAAAAAATTGATTTGTGGGGGGTCGTGGCAGTGTAATTAGATATTATTTTGCGAATTCGATCGGTTATTTTTCGGACTAAATTTGGTGTGATTTTAGATCCACGTTTATAACAAATTATCAATATAATTTAATAATATTCCATATTATTCTTTATACGTATAGTTATACAGGAAACCCGACCGACCCATAAAACCTACGCTCCACGATGAGGTATCGTCGACTCAAGAAATATAGATTGAAAATCGACCTAGCCGATAAATCATATATTTTTTTTATTGCGACGACGACGGCAACGATAACGACGTCATCGTCTGGCTGCTCATCCTTATCGTGTCGGGCTGGGTGCGGATGTGGGCGCGACACGTCCGTCAAACTGGGCGCAGGAGAAAACGACCGTATTTCAACGGAATATTAATGCCAACGATTAATAATGATAATAACATTATTCGCCACCGCCCGTACCCGCTACTGTTTGAAAAAAACAAAATTGGTATTTAATTCAATTTTACATTATACAGAGTAGGTCATGGACTTGTGATGGGGCTGACGTAGGGCTTGACGTGTGTGACGTGCGCGCGTTTGTGTGTGTGTGTGTGTGTGTGTGTGTGTGTGTGTGTGCGTGTTAGGAAGTGTGGACGTAAAAGACCCAGTCCGACGGAGGTCGCCAGGCTCAATGTTTGTTCTACAGTAAAATAGTATTACTTAATTATATTATATATATATTTTTTAGGTTTTGTTTTTAAACTTTCGACGAGATAATAATGATGATAGTAAAAATGTGATTTAAAAAGAATAGTGTTATGAATTATAATAACTACATCCATTAGGTAGGTTAGGTAGTTAGTATTTATACCGTGTTACAATGCGTTTATTGTATTTGCTCGCATGCGATCTCGACGTGCGTAACAATAATATACTCATTGGTACGAGCTCTCGACCAGGGCTCGGAAGTCATAGCTGCAGTACTCATTAGTGGCTTAAATGTACGACCTTTAAAAATGAAAACGCTCGAGTACATATTATTATTGTAATACGCAATGAGTGAAAAAAATTAACAGATGAGAACTTAAAAACTTAATTTTTTTTTATCGTATTAAAAGAACGTAATGACTATGTAATATTTTTTATGTTTGTACTTGAGTTACTAAGAGTGAGTACGAAATAAATTCGCATTTTAATTGGACAGCCATCGTAGTTATTGTTCAAGATTCCCCGAAAAGAACGCATATACCTACCTATTACTATGCTTTAATATATTACAGAAACGTTAAAATAGTTGATTTTTTTTTGAAAAGGATACAGTCTCCGTCGTCGGTGGTCAAGTGGCCCTTGTACTCGGGCACGTACGGTCTCAGCACATCCTTCATAAGCACTTGGAAGCACAACTGTTCCTTGGGACAAAGTTTCTTGAGGATCGTTCCAGGTTCCGGACCGGCTTTGAAATTGCCTGTGAAACGATAAAAACACGTTATTTATATTATTATATTCATAAAACATAAAATGTGTTCGGGAAATAGTATTTTAATTCTACAGCATAAATGCGATGTGCTGGTGTTCAGGAATACTTTAAAATAAAAAAAAAAGAATTTTCAATCGATCTGATATTTTTAATAATATAACATCACAATGACAACACGCGGTGACCAGCTACTTCTGCACAATTTTTTTCATTTACCAACAATAGGAACAGGCATATTACGAGGCACGTATAATATTGTATATCATTTTATTATATACCGGCTGGACGGATAAGTCAAATTTAGCGGTAGGTCACATATCGGTACAAATTGGTTCATCGGTAGGACCCATATTAGGGACTATAGTCCAAAATCATAATTCAAGTGTATTTGGTGTATAAAGGATACGGCACCTGGTGGCAGTATTGTGCTAAACAGTTGCCACCCATTTCTGGTTTTTGGACAGAAAAAAAATAGTAAAAAGTACTGGTCCAATATGGGTGCAGCACGCTTGTCGATTGCGTCGTGTATAGTCGTTATCCGGTTTAAGTTCAAAATTTAAAATGTTTGAAAAGTTCTAGAAAAAAAAAGGAAGTTTGAGTTCGTGAAAATTGAAGTTCGACCCGCGCTTAGTAAAATTGATCGTCAAAAAAATATCGCTTATTTACCAGCTACGCCAGACGTAAGAATAGATCAATTGGGCGCAGTGAATTCCTCTAGTGGAATTAAATTAGAAAATGCCAATCGACGATTAATGTACCCGTGTTGTTGCATACAATAACAATAATAACGATTTTCGTACATGATCGCTGCGGTGCGCCTTCGAATCGATTAGTAATGCGATACGCGCGACGATAGGTTGCAATAATATATTATTATATTCCAAAACGACATATGTAATATGTATATGATAATTTATTGTACGTCACTGTAGAGCGAATTGTCGTCGTTTCCGTCCATACTTAGGTACCTATGACGTATGTTTATGTTTTATATTATAAGTGTTGACAAGTCGTCATTAAACACATTGACGCCACTAAGCCAAGCCGATGTGCAATGAATATGCCTGTACCAATTATAAATATATTACCTATATAGGTACTTGTGTGTATACATTATAATATTATATGTATGTACGGGGTGATTTCGTCAACGTGAATCATCATAAAAGGAATTTAGAGAAACCAAAAATATAATTTCAACAAAACGTGCTAGATGATTGTGGAAAAAAATGGAAATAGTGTTTGTGAGGTGAAAAAATTAAGTTTCAAAATTTATCGTAGTTCCTAAGATATTACAATAAGTTCACTATAAAACAATAACCCTGTATAGTATAGGTACCGAATAACACGCATATATTTTAGCTGAGAAGGTACTTCAGATGAGCATTCATTATTTATATACATAACATTTTCCACTACAATGATTTACGTAATTAACGGAAAGTACATGAAGACATAATTTATATTATGACATAGGATATACGTGGTGAATGAATGGCGATAATCGTTTAAGCACTTTTCGTATGTACATCATAATAATTATTAAAAACAAACACTACTTATATTCAGTGAAATTTTAATATACACTAATACATTATTGTATTATGGAAGGCGCGTATTGTTGTATTTATTTTTTCACTTAGTTTTAAACAAGCCGGGCTCAATAATATAATAAATTGTAGATAATATATATGAACAATCTTTCGTAACTAATAAAATACAATAAACCAATAATATAAAACACTATTATAGCAATATGAATTAACAGGTCTGAAATTACAATGTAGTGAAATCTCTTCTAATAGACACATTCAAATAACGAACATATTAAAATTTAAAAAGATAATTTTGATTCAAAATTATTAATTCAATAGGTTAGAAAAAAATCCTATAGATATAGGGAACCATCGGAGTTTAAGAGAATTGAAATCGCCAATCATAATTAAGTTATTAACATACTTAAACTTAATAAACAATTTTTAATAATGTCAAAATGTCGAAATGTGGAAAATAAACATTACAATTTACAACTATAATGTAATTAAATTTTAAAACTTTCTTTAATAATAGCAAATTTATGTTAACTGATCTAACAGTTACAGATAAAATACATGAATGCAATTTCACAATTTTAATAAGCTATTAAGTTTGGGGTAACAGTAAACAACATTTTCAAAAGAAAAATTTGGAACTTACTAGTTTTAACTAGCAAAATGATAGAAAATATTGCGTAAGCAGTGCTGCAACAATTAACTTTATGGCACGTGTGCAAAATGTATTAATATTATTAATAGACCTAAATTAATATTATTATCTTCATCTTTATATTGCTGCAGAAATTAATATACGTAACTGATAGCAGAACTACCGCTTCTCTCTTAGAATTATTACTCGTATTCGGGTTTCGGTCACAGTGATAAGTAACTGTGAAGATTAAAACGTATTGAGTTAATATCCGTCCTAATTAAGACTCATTGATATTAAGATATAATACCAGGTTTCAGATAAATGGTTTCAGTCATGAATATTAGCACACATGACGCATCGACTATTTAACTTGGTATTAAGTCAGCGAACACTTTATAATTATACATACATAAAGTTAAGTTTTTGTGAACTGATCCGTTTTTAATTCTTTTAAATGGTTGATATACCTTTGACGAACTTTGTAACTACATTTTTTCGCTATCTTATAGGAGTTTATTGAATTCCGTGAGTTCCTTAAGCCTCGATAGAAATTCACGACGATCATCTGGTTGCAATATTCTGAGCATCATCGATATGCGAATGGAACTTACTGTAGTTTGGAGAATTAAGTAGTTTATGTCTTGTAAATACCCTTCGAAATCAGACAGTGTTTGAAATTTCAATTCTTAGATAACTATGTTTGATTTTCTACCAAATCTATAGAGACTGCTGCCGGATAAATGTTAGGCAATTTATCTTTTTCTTAGTTATTAGTTTATGATCATCAGATTCCAAAGCATTATATTATAACATCAAATAATAATATGAACTTGCTTGTATATTATAAATGTCAGATATTATGGTTTCGTCTCAGACATAGTGGGATGACTCAATACTAGATGAATGATTTTCTTTTTGAGTGACTCTATTTTCAAGTGAAGAAGTACGACCATTTGAACCACGCAATTGACTAGAAACTTTATCTAGTTCCATGATTGAGTTCCAAAAGTGAAAATTCATTTTTAGTAACCAAATGTTTTATCTCATATACTACCGAAAGTATGAAATTTATTTTAGATATTTAAATGGTATCTTAACATGTAGATTTGACCCAAACATATTTTAAAGACAGAGATTTTCTGGTTCCTAGTCTCGCACACTTGCAACTAGTACACATTCACAAAGCAATATGCATGTTAAGAACGTCGACAGTAAGATAACGGTGAGACGAACAAGCAATATGGTATAGTTTAGAACAAAACAGTTGTAATCAGCCAACACACAATAATTGCACTTAGGACAATTCATGCTATAATATAACGGGACGAATAAAAGATAAAACTGAAAACAACTGGTCCGGACGACAGTCAGATTATAACTGAATATTATAACTACATTCTTATTTCACTGAAGTGGTAAGTACTATTACTTACTATGATATATTCCACAATATACATAGTAATAGTATAGTAATTATATACTATAATGATAAGGTATGTATGTGAAGTACAGTCAGAGTATCGATAACGGGCATCTCAAGGGGATTACAAATAAATTCGAATTATGAATTTTTCAAACTATGTACCTTAAATATAACTTAAAAACACTTCGAGGGCCAAGAAACGAGTACTTCTACCTGTAAGTATTCGCTGAAATATTTAAACCTTTACACTCTAATTATTAGAATCTAATATATAAGAAGTGTGAGCTGTTGTATCGTTGTATTACCTATACAAGTATGTTACAAAAGTCGACCAAGTTAATTATTATTATTTTTTAACTCGTAAAGTATAAAGTCACTGAGGTAAAAATGTAAGTTGTGTTTTAAGTTAAAGGTACTTTTCTTTATTTTTAATTTGTTAAAGTTACGAGTTAAGTAGAAAAATAGTGCGCAAGTGGGTGTAAAAGTCATTCATTTTATTTTTAGTAATAACATGATGGGTTGAATTAATTTTTGCCGAAAACATCGCATTTAATATTTAATATATTGTTAATATTATTAGAAAAGTTTATATTTATACAATAGCCAATTTATTATTGTTATTAACTTTTAGGTGCATGTCTGTTACTACTGACTATCATATAACAGTTCAAATATATTTGTGGTATACAAAATATGCGTTGGCTTAAAATTAATCTAAATATTGTAAAAATTTAATTGTGTAGAGTCAAATATAATACTGTAAAGGTAAAACGTAAAAGGTTCAAGTCCCATTTATAATCAAATTTCGATGGCGACAAACATTTTGCACTTGTAACCGTAAGTAACCGACGAAATGGTTAATTAATTTGTTAAATATTATAAAGCGAACACAAATAGTGCAACAATAATACTATTTTATGTCCTGTTTTATTTTTTAAGATGTGTGATTAAAAAAAAAAAAGTGAAATAAGTTTTCTGCAAATAAATTCATTTCACAAAACATTTGGTTCGGCATACATTATTACCCTATAACCTGTTAGATACAATGTTTTTTTTAAAGTTATAATTAATATAAGTCCTATAATATATAATATAAATAAACAATATTATCGCAATCAATATTTGATTCCAAATGGTGTGCGGGCGAAACAAATTTCATTATGATATTATTAATATTATTTCCCTTACGGTTCTGCAATACCATGGTTTTTGTTTTTTATAGTGGTTACATTTTGCGTTGTGTCTTGTAAACCATAATTTTATAAAATGATGTGTATTATATACACATATAGTCTGCTTTAGGCAATGGTATTACAAATTCAGGTCGTTATCGTCGTCGTCACGTCGTTTTCTGTAATCTTATACACATACATTATGA